GCCAACCCTCCTAACTCTGTGCAGTGTGGGCTGAGGCTCCACTCCTGCTGATGAAGCCAAGCTCCAGCACTGTAAACAGGAACTAATTATCCTGGACTCACAGAGTTGTGCTGGATGTATATGAAAGTTACACAGCACATCCCAATGTCCCATTTTAGAAGGCTACCCAGGAGAATATCAGCATGGAAAAGACTGCAGCTGTATGGGCTGCGATGAAATTCACAGTGTCGCTTCCTGCAGAACATCACTGCAGCAACAGTGGGGGGTTTTTGTTCCAGGAGAAACACCTTGGAAACTGTTAAAGTTTCTTCTGTGTTCTCCCTTATGAAAGAGGAAGATACTTAATTAATGTTAAAGTTGGCACTGACTAATTTTGCAATTAACAACACTGAAATCCCTCATGGTACTGTTCTGTGTATGTTTCCTACATAATACTGGAACGTGCCAGAAAGAACTAAGACAATATTGATCGTGTCCAAAATATGCTAAATAAGCAGCTTCAAGCTTGCTTAGAAATTGCTGATAAGTAAGCAAACTTAATAGAAAAAACTGCTTAAAAGACTTAGGAACTACTTAACAGAAAATCTATTGGAATTTACACTTACCAAATGGCACCCTAAAATCAAGAGAAAAAGGGAAGATGATTTTGTTTAACACATTAAGACAAAGTTGCCTTTTCTCTATTTCCCACAACAATGTAACTCTACAGAAAAACACAACACTATAACCACATTCAAATGCTTTTACAACAAGACTCTTTGGATTCTTGGTCCTGCAAGCTCAGCTCTGTTGCAAAATGGGAAACAATGATATTTCCAGGTTAATGATAAATTTTTCTCAGCTGAAACCTGGTACCAAACTTCCATCATCAGACTAAATAAAATATCAACCAGCTGACTTGTATGTGGTTTCTGTAGGAAAAAGAGTCACTCTGCAAGTCTGATTCATATCCTATATGTATTTGTACATTAGATTCATACATTTCAAACATTCACACACTTTTAGATAAGAACACAGTAGTGCTATCAGAAACATCTAAATTCCTCTTAAAATGATTTAGAAATGTCAGTGCTGAGCAATAGATGTGCTCTTGTGTGCAGAGGAGTAAAAACACATATTTGAACCCAAGATTCTCCAGTTCCTGAGCTGTTATCTCCAAGAGAGTAAACCTCTAGAGTACATCTCCACATGACACATTTATCTAAAGTGGCTGCACACATATAATGATGGCTTTTGTTTAGTGATCATGGTCATTTTGAGTTTGTTTAAATACTGCAGCCAAATGCTTATAAACTAATCCCAGAACATTTTGAAATGCTTCAAAGCTTTTAGCGGGGGAACCTCTTGCATAGGCTTTGCAGATGAAGCTGACCACAGTTCACTGGAACCAGCCAGCTCAGATAAGTAAGATGAAAGCAGACATTTCCTGAAAATATCTTGAAAGCTTTCCATTAGTCTGTGCCAGGGGTATACACTAAAAACAGAAAGTGCCCATGCTTGTATAGCAACCAATCCTCCCACTGCTTTCTCCATTCTTTCTTGAACTACTGTATTTGTATCTATTTATCTGCTTCATTTGGTATCTTGCAAAGTTCTTTGGCAGAAAAAGATGCAACTTCTGCATTCCAGTTTACAATACATTATAAAGCAGCTATTACTACAACAAAAAATTCTATTTAACACACTAAACAGTGTGACAGGAAGAAACCAAAATCTACCAATGCCAAAATTACTACAGATTACAAATAAGTAAGAAATTTGTTGTACAGGTAATTTTTAAGAGTCACTCACTCCACGACAGGCATGAATACCACTGTTTGAACATAGAGCTCTGGCTGTCAAAGTGTGCTCTAACAAGGTCCATTCAGCATTGCTGAATGTGCTCTATTCATAGGAGTGCCTCAGGCTAGATTTTCAATAAAGGCAGAGACTGGCTGTGTTCATATTTTATACAATAATTTGATTGAATAAAAACAACTGTTCACTAGGAACATGAAATACTCCACTACTGAAATTGCCAACATTTTATACCTTGTGATATGTCACACTGTCCAGTTCCAGGCACTTCATTTCAATGAATGAGAAGCCCAGGTTTCTTTCGTAGTCAGTGGACTCAAGGGCACATAAGTACTTTCAGCAGCTTTTCAAGGACCTGCAGACTATGAAGTGCACCTAGGGTCTAATTTAAGCACCAAAATTAGGCATTAATGATATCCATCATGGTGTATCCTCCAAAGAGTTAATATGCACACTCAGAGAGGAGAGCACGATGGCACCATAATACACTAGAATTCAATACAGCCATAATGCTAACAGTTATTCTGTCCAGTACCTTACCAAAAAAGGGCTGGGGCACTGTGAAGCTAAGAACACCAGCACACACTAGCCATACATGTTTGAGAAGGAAGTGGTGAGCCACAACACTGATGTGCAAAATCGGATGCAAGCAAAGTCCAACAGTTGCTACTTGAAACAAAACAACCTTGCCCCCTTTAATACAAAACAAAAAATACTTGAAGTCTTAGATTTTTTTGAGGTATACCTTGAAACCCATGCTCACTGCCTTCTTGCAATCTCTGCAGCCTGGGATACCTGTAGTATGGTGTGGCACCCACCTGGGAAGAGCAAGCATTACCCTCTACCAGGGTGCTGCTTATGCAGCTTTACTGGTTAGTGTTAGCAGTAAAATAGTTGTGCAATCAACAGAAGTATGATTGGTATATCATACCTGTGTCTGAAACCAGGTCAAGACCTGTAAATAAATGAGAAAGTGTGGCTGAAGCTACTAAAGACCCCCTCTGACTCAGGCCCACACAACTCTATGATCTAAATAATAGTAGATGTGCTACAATGTGCACAATGTCTCAGTACAACAAAGGGAGAAGACTTAAATAGGGTGTAATTCTTTTAATGAAAATTATTAGTAATATATGACATGTTCCTTGGCAGACAGCAGAAAGTGAGAAAGGGCTTGAGTGAGGACCTGTGAGGGGTTGTCCACATCCTCAGTAGCCATTCCCTGCACAGTCCTGGCTTCCACTAAATACTCAAGCTTGATTAGAATTTCCAAATAATTAAATGTTCTGCTTTAATCTTTCTAGAAATAATGTAAGATGCATCATCTTATTAGAGGAATTTTAACACTCATTCTATCCCACCTACATTTTTCCACATTCTCCCCTAAGAGGCAGCTGAGAGTTGTTAAAAATCTTAAGATCATGTGCTTGCAAGAACCTTACAATAAGCAGAAATCAGCAGCGGTTTTATTTATGATTTCACTAATATTATAAATACAATCTACTCTTTTAATGATCAAATGTAATTAATTTCTTCAGGGATGTAGCTTTAGTAAGCAAAGGTAAAAAGAGACTTGGTTGTCTGCTTATACAGACTGCTACCAGGACTGCCTACTGCTTGTATAACATTTTAAAGCAGCTGTAAAACAATCATTACTTATGTAAACATTTACAGCTCATCATATGCAGAGCCCAGCTACATATTTTAACTTCTGATCAAAACGAGACACCATTTCCTTAGCTGTACAGAAACTACTTGAAAAATTCATAAGATCTGTTTCACAAATTACCAATTCAACCATAAGAATATATAGTAAAAATGACAAAAGATTTGTTCTTATAGTTGATAAAAAATTTATGCCAAGGCATTCAAGTAAAGTTACTTTCTGTGTTCTGATTTAATGAATCATTTGAGCGGTATCTGGCTGGGTGACACAGATGTAAGGCTCGCTGAAGCCTGCTCTAATGCCTGCTGGTACCATCTTCCTTGGGACAGCAGAGCCAGAACAATGTGTCAGACTGAAGTAATATCAAGGAAAGTAAGTGCAGTGCTGGGCATGCCACGAGGCTGGCCCACAATACTTCCTGACCTGTGAATGTCTCTAAGTACCTCTCTGTCCTACAGGCTCCAGTGACCCAGGAAGCCCAAAAGAAGCAGCAGCAGCGCAGTCGTGAACAGACTCGGAAATAAAGATTTTTGCAATCTCGTAATTCAAGCTCAAGACATACAAAGATTGGTTGATGGTTTAACCCTAATGGAAGGCAGAGCCTCACTCTGTGAAACCACCAGTGATTTCTTAAACATTTAACATTAGTTCACCTTTTAATACAAATTATCTCTGTTTAACACACTGCAAAGTTCGTGTCTTTAACTTCAGAAAAGTACATGAATTTGCAAAATACTAATTAAGGAACTCACTTCACTTGATGCATATGAGTACAGCTTTTATAGATCATGCTTCTGCATAGAAGTTTACTGAAAGACACTGTAATACAATCAGGCTTCCCATTAGGGAAATCATTGTACAGAATTTAATTGTACAGTAAGTAAAACAAAGCTAAGGAGGACTGTAGGCACTGTGGTGCTTAACCAACAAAGCTAATCCTCATAAAAATAAAATACTGGGTCCCAGTGTTCCTTGGGAGGAATTCTCCTGCTAAGAGACTTGCCCTCTAAAAGAAGCTTGCTAGAATACTTATACATATTTAGAAGCACACATATCTTTATAGAAATAATTTGAGTTTAATCATAAAAGTAAAACCTTTTAAGAAATTAGAAGCAAAATGAGAAATGAAAAGCCTAACAGTTATATCAAATCCAAATAATACAATATACATGTCATTTTATCCTAATGTCAGAGAGGGGGAAAATGCATGTCAGCAGCAAATGGGAGAGGGTGAATTATACTCCTACTTCATCCTGCAAGGCCTGTTAAAAAAAAACCCCTAAAGCTTAGTTTTTCTTGTTTTTTTTTAACATGAGTATGTTAAAAAATGGGTTTTTTTAAACATTGATAACTTTTGATGCAAGGGGGACAATTCTGTTATGTCAAGAAGATTTTGTTCATTTGCATGAAAGAAATATTTTCGTTGATTCCACAGTTAGTTCCATGAAATCTTTCTTTTACCTGAAAATTACATCTTGTTCCAAGAGGCTAATAAGACAGTTGCACATAAGAATATTTGACATTTAAGGGTACTTACACAGATAACAAAACAATAGCAATGAGAGTCCATTCAGGCATTCTGTGTATAATATTTCTGTTTGTTAACCTGAAAAATAATTTTTAAAAAGTCAGTACATTTAAAAGTAAAAGTAAGCAGATTTTAACAGCTGAATTTTAAGTCTACCACTAATACACCAAAGTAAAAAGAAGCAATTACAGCTGTATCTGAGCAATTCACCAGCTCTTAAGCTTCTGTCATCCTCTAATGGAGGAACTGCAGAATTTTCAATGTCCCTTTTTTTGAAGTGGGAAAACTTCCCACTTCATCCCACTGAAAGTGGGATGGGGAAGACTGAACAGAAGCTATTTCTTTTAAATTGCTCACAAATAGTCCTGGCTGCTGTGAGGGCCCAGCTCTCACTCAAACCCCTGGGAAATTCTCCAGAACTGACATGAGTTTCTGAAAAGACGGACCTTCTTACACTTAGTTTCCCTCCTGCTGGCTTCAGATCCAGATTTGCTGTAAAAGCTGATGTGGACACAGACTGAATTTTATAAGGTGGCAGTGACAATTCTCTGATGAGTCTGTGTCTCAACAATCTGAGTTTTGTTCAATTACGAATGGAAAAACAGTGTTTTGCACTACATAAAAAGGAATTGGCACATCAAACCAGAACCAGAGTTGTGGCAAACACTGATTATGTTTGTTATTAAAAGGTTCATTTTAGCAATTATTATTTGAAATAGCTAATGGATTTAGCTGCCAACAAAGCTGGTACCTGTTAAACTGAATAAGAGACTAAACAAAGGCTGAACATCTTGACTCAACACTGATGACAGTGATAAACACTACCAAGAAATGCCTGATGGAATCATCTTGACAGGCAATTCATATGTAACATTCCAGTTAATCTGTTATGATGAGACATAATGAAAGAGACAGCTCCAAGCCACCTGGGGAAACTCTGTCAAATAGAGAAAGCAGCTTTATTTCAATGCTTTACAAGGAGTTATTATTGATTAGAGCACAGGAAGGTGTCATTCTTGTACACAAACTGAGAGATGCAGTTATTTGTGTCAATTAACTCTTATTCAATGTTAGTATTGATTGGCAAGGTCTGAACACTAGTCATTGCCATCAATATGCTATTTCTGAAGGAGGCAGTCAAAAGACACAGATAACCAGCAGGACACAGCAGTATGGATCTGCTGATGTACTACAGCCACTGCACTGGATGAACAGTCAGGCTTCTGCAACTGAGTAACCTCTCAGTACAACACCTGTCCTAAAACACTTCTGCAGCGGGAAAAAAACATAAAATTCAGAGAGATCAGAGTAAAGCAAGCAACCTACAGGTGTGAAGCCTTAAATAATAAGGAGCAGTGGAAGGGCAGTCACTTTCAAACAAGCTCTGTGTCAACACCAAGGCCTCTGAAGAGCAAAGCTTTCTCAAAACAGGGAACTGAAGGGCCTCTGTAGAAATGGTTCATTAGTTCTTTGTCTTGCCTCTAGCCAAAACTGTTACTTCAGAACAATCCATGAAAGAGGTCACTAGATTTCTGTCCTAAAAATATAATGTGGAAATGTTAAAACTGTACAAAACTTTGTGTGTCTGATTTCAGTTTTGCAGTGAAATCTTTTCTGCTAAAGAGTTTGGCCAAATTTTCCCTCACCCACCTAGAGAAAGAAAACAATATGCAACTTCCCAAAATGGAATGTGCCCACTTTCTTAGCCCGTGTAGGGCAGGATACACAAGCTAGGAAAGTTGGATGATCCCAAATAGCTGTGTGGGTTGCTTAGTTGCTGGTTTGTGGGTCTTGTGGTTCCCTCCTGCAAGACACGCGGCAGCCACCCAGCAGGACCCAGGCGGTTTCACTGTGAGCGAGCCTGACTGAGCACGTGGATCCAGGTGGCAGAAGCTTCCAGGATAAAGGCCTGAAGAGTAAGATGCATAAAAATCCCATCTCAAATGACCTCCTCATAACTGACTAGTGCCCAGCCTGCAAAGCAAGGGAACTCCAATAGGGAAATTGTAGGAATCCAGAGTAAATAACAACAGCAAACCCAGCATCTTTGCAAATGCAGCAGCCTCTGCTTCCTACATCCACTTTCCCAGGTATGGGCATATACAGCTGCAGTTCAAGTATCTGTCCATTCTGTAAATCTGTAAACTGATTTAATGTCATTAGGATGCAAAGTTGTGATTTCAGGGGATCTCAGCTAGCTGTATTTTCTCAAAACTTGCAGTAAGATGAGTGAAGTTTAACTAACCCAGGGCAGCACAGGCAAATACTGAAGCATATATTGTTTTTCTTCAGGTTTCAACTCAACCAATTCAACCATAAAAGACAGTTTTCTACCTCCTGGAAAACAGCAACATATTTACATGCTGTAATACCATTTAGTTTTATGACAGCCAGCAAAAATAAGTTACTCTTTAACTTTAGGCTTCTTTTGAGAGAAGCCTAATTACTTAAGAAAACATCATTAACAACCTGATACTCTATTTCCACACAGAACTTCATCTATGACCAAGTATTACTGATTGACTTTAAACCCAGAACTTAAAATTCCACTTAATAAGGGCAATAGGTAAAATAGGTACAAATAAGTGTATATACCAGATAACATATATTCAGGATACATACTTAAAAGCTAAAAGACTGTCTTGGACATATGATAAAACCAAGTTGTAACAAGAAGTCTTGAACACATCTCACATCTGATTCATTGGTAGAGTTCAATGTCAATGATAAGCCCCATAATGGGAATTAAAATACTCACAACAATACAGATGAATCCTATTTTCAAAATGAAGTATTATGCCTTAAAAGAACCCAACCACACATTCAAAATCATTTATCCTCAATTTATATATAAGAAGCTAATTTTCTCTTGATCTTTTAACAAAATACCCTAACACACTCTGGAGAATTATTTGACATCTCAGCTTTCGTAACAAAAGCTTACAGGCACTGAGGGACTTTGTTTGGGAAGAGCTCTAACCATTCTAAAATGTCTCTTGAGATCTCTCTAGTGTGTTTCTTAGCAGTGGTGATTGAATAAATGCTGCCCAAAGGAGGCTGAACTGCAAGTGTTCCTTTAAAAACCAATGGAGCTGAAAATCGTTGTTGCTGAGTTCACCACATGCTCTTTTACCCTTCTTCAGCTAAGCCCTACTACAGCCATGTGTTTTATCTACTACCCTTTTGGGCAAGCTCTTCAGCCTCAAATATCTACAGTACAAAAAGCAGGAAAGAGCACGAGCATTTATCAGTGCTTCTCCACTGTCGTTAAGCATTAGAACAACATTAAGAAAGAAAGTAATATTTGAATTTCTATACCCTATAAATACAAATACCATTTAAAATTTATGCCAAATTTCCCTGCCAAAGCATTCAATCCAAAACCTAAGAGACTACTAATATTAAATAGTTAAACCTATATACCAAACTGGAGATTCAAGTCTATGCCTTCACCTTAATATCCATGAGCTAGCTCCTGTGCACCAACAGACCCTTCCACATCAGTAATGCGAGACAGAAAAAGGGCCCAAAGGTCCAAATTATTTTGCTATCAGTGACAACAAAACTCCCTTTATTTTGAGATATATATTATATTATATTAAGGCTTTTAAAATCCTTGTATAGTGCCCAAACTTGTCTTTAACCATTCCCCACCCAGAATCCTGAATTTCTAAGCAGCTTGATCTGGAATCTTCACAGTAAGAGAACCCAAGAAGTTGCTACCATTATCTTCAACTTACTTCCTAATAAAAATGACACAAAAAATAAACTCACAAAGTGTTATCTAAGAGATCAAAACAGATTAGGGGAGACCTTTAAATTATGATGAACTACTGCTGCATGAACCAGGTATTGGGTTAAAGTCCAAATAAATTTGATTTGGTTCTATTCTGCAAACCCACAAGTGTGTATGTATATACATACATATACATCTACATGTATGTGTTTTAGAAGTCTCTTTTGGTTTCAAGTCTCATTTGCTATAAACCACTGACAACTTTATATTCATGCCCCATTGTCTCTGAATAGCAAAAGTAATTTAAAATAGAGGCTCAGTTTTTGAGAATCTCTGGGCCTTCTTAGATAATCAATCATTAAAAAGTAGTTTGAAACACACCAAATATAGTTTCTCCACTTTTATCAATCTGTAAACTGAAGTGAGTACTAAGTATTTAAACTGCAGAGCAAATAAACTGTTTTAAGACACTAACATCTTACTCAAACAATAGGTATCTATACACGATATGCAAAAACATTTTTATTGGTTTCAGTGGTGTTGTTAAAATAAAAGGCAAGTCAGAACTTAAAAGACTGCAATCACAGAAACAAATTCACATAGTATCAATGTTTTTATTTAAAAGAAATCATGCACAGAGTTACCAGAAAGAAAGAGAGAATCTTCCACAGTAAGAAATCTTGCAGAGAGACATCTGTGTTTTAGTGGCGTCCCTCCAGACACGGCATAAATCATAAGAAATTGGGTACAGCTGGGTTTCTATTCACCAAAGCCCAGACTCCTTGTGGCAAATGCTACATGAATGAGTTTTGGAAAACTCATGTAAACCTCATGCAGGCTGAGGATGTACAAAGGATGTTTCAAGACTGACAACGTACACACAGTTGGCAATTGCTACTGCTCTTTTTCTGACAATACTTGAGGATGAAGGACACAATCTAGGTCCAGGTTATGAGAGTTGTCTCCCAAAGAAAACCTAAAAAAGTCCAGAGAAGTTACCATTCTGTTTTCCCTCCTTCTTTATCTCATTGTTTCCAAATACTGTCTTTAGTTCTACTGACTGAAGCAGTAGCTTCAGCTGTTGTGATGAAAGTGCCCACTAGATCTACTTCCCTTTGAAATCAGGAACAAGACAGATCCAACTGACTGACTCTAGAAGTTAGTGGTAAAAAATATTAATCAGTTTAAAACCATTTAGCCCAGCTGCAGGGAGCTAGAGCAAAAGAAAGGGACAGATCTCAGAAACTCACGCTTAATAGGAGGTGACGAGGTAGCAGAACCTTTAAAAGACTCATCAGCATCCTCCAGAGAGCACTGGCCTAGTTTTTAAAAATCTACAAATACTCCTGGTGACCTAGCCACTGTCAGGAGCAGGGAAAGGGCTGACTTGTCAGTCCACAGGGAACGGGACATTACCTACATGAACACAGAGCAAGAGAAGGGCAAATCTGCAATAGGGCCCTCCTCTCTGTGCCCAAATCACACATCATCCCACAGCACGTTTAGCTCATCAGTTTATAAAAATCTCTAAGTACAGACCAATACTCACCGGAAAGTTTTGACAAGATTTTTTAGCTCTGTGTAGACATCACCTGAAGCAATGTGAAGAGGGCCCAAAACTGCAGATAATCTAGAAGGCAAAAGACACCAGTCAATATACATTTTCCTCTCTTTCTCATTTCTTCTGAAGTTAACTTCTACCAAAGCTTATCAAGGTTAGTAAAAAGGAAAAGAGATTGACTTCTGTGCAGCAGATCAGGCCTATAGTTTTCATTTCAGATCTCTCTGTGTGCTGTTTGAGCCAACATCTTCACTTCACAACCACTTGTTTTTAAAAATAAGAAGCTCTAGTTCTGTGTGAATGTGAAGATTTAAATATAATTCTACAGACATATACTTACTAGTTTCACCCTTCAGTTCTGAAAAAGTATTTTTACAATTATGAGGATCAGAACTACAGGCCATATAAATTTTTTGAAGGTTTATATTTACTTGGCTCAAAAATAACAATACAAAAGGAAACTTCTTGTCTGAATGGGGTATTCACACATAATACACCTGCTAACCTCAGACTCACACAGATGCAACAGAAATATCAGTCCACTGTGAGCTTGGTAGATGAATCTAGATGATAGTTACCAGAAAATTTCAAAAGAAAGAAAAGGACAGGTTTTCTCTTTACTTATCTGTGCATAAAAAGGACAGACCACACAAACTGCACATACTCTAACTAGTTGTCAGCATTCCCAAATGATGGAAATAACATTATTTGTTTTTCACATTTAGGATTAAACTTTTACCTCTATTTACTTGTTAAATAGTTAAAATTCTCTTGTATTTGAATATCCAGTGATTTGCATTTATATGCACATAACACTTACTGCATCAGTATTCTGGAAGACTGCGTGTTTTACAAAAACTGAACACAGGATTCTTATGATGCTGGGCATATTCATTGCTTTATCACAATGAAAATTATCTCTTGATTGTGACAGAACAACTGCATTAGCTCAGGAAATTTAAAACAATCAACATTTACTGATAAGACACTTGGGGGATGGTTTGATTCCATGTTTTGGCCTATCCATACATGGTGCAGGTAGAGAAAAACAGAAAAGATTTTCTTTTTATTTTGGCGGGGATGGGGAGGTTGGTTGTGAGGTTTTACGTTAAAAAAAAAAAGGCTTCTGCAAAACCTAGTTTGGCTAGGTAACACAATGACAGAAAAGTAATACCCCTACCAAAAACAACAGAATCATGACCTTCAGTCACTTATCTGCACTGCCTTGACAATGACAATATTTTCAAGGTCCTCCCAACTTTGACAATTTTTCTAACAGCTACATCAGAAATTTCCTTAATCTCTTCTGTGTGACTCCAAAGCCCTTTTATGTATGTGAAGAAGGTCTGGTGTTGGCAAAGTTTTAAGATCCAATTCTGAGGGCCTTTAGTGATTGTAGCTAGGGGCATACTGATACCAGCCATCCAAACATGCATTAGAAACTCTCTTTGTAAGACCTATGCTTAAACAATTACCAGCATTTGTTTACAAGTAACAGTATGCTTAATGTACAAGACAAATATTTGAACTCCTCTCAATCATTTTCAAGTTTTTCAGTCTAAACTTAAGCAGTTGGTACCTACAGACTGTGCAAACTGGCACTTGCAACTGTACTACAGCTGACTGTTGCAGAAATAAGTAAGTCCCTTAGGGCAATAATGGGCTTAAGTTATTATTCTTTTAAGATGTTCTGCTCCTCTTTTGCTCACACCTAGAAAAACTATCTGTGATCCACATGTATTTTCAAAGATTTCTGAAGCACTTGATTTCCCAGGAGCAGTATTGTCTGAAGGTGGTGCAGTTACTTCATTATGAACAGAGCAAGTGTGTCTTTCTTCCTGAGTGTCTAATTTACAACGAGAGAGTTGTTCAGTGGCTTCTACCACATCTGCATCTTCAGTTTTAGGGCTGGCCTGGACTTTCTGAGCATGCTTCTTTTTGAGGATGCTTTTTCTGTGCAGTTGCTGTGCAAAATTGGCTGAACTCGACTGACTTCCTGGTAGGACAGAAGAAATAAATTCTTGTTCAGTGTCAGTACTGCTGTCACTGGCTGTGTCGTGAGAACCAGATTCACATGGATCTGAAGACATCCTAGGGTTTTCAATGTCAGATGCTGTAATTACTTCATCACGTAGTTTCACCTCTTCTCCAGACCGTCCACTACAATAGAAAACACAAGCCATCAGTGAAATTAGAAATGGCTTTTATCTGCAATAGTTTCTCATTCTCATGTAAGAATGATAAACAAAGCATTTTCCCCCTTACAGCAGAAGTGTAATTTTTTGCTTTAAGAATCACAAGTGTTCTTCTAAAAGCCTTCTTGAACTCTTAAGAGTTGTACTATTCTGCAATCAAAATGACAAGTACAGAGACTATTTAGAGAAGTGAGTTCTCAGCTGATTATTGGTAGTTAAAAAAGAACAGTACAAACAAGATATTATCAAACACAGCAGAACAATGTCAGACTTAGCTTCATGAATAGTGCAACTTTAAAATGATTACAGGCATGCTAACATATATAGGAATATAGTACCCTTAAATCAGGGGGACAGCTGAGCTGTTTCAGCATATATAAGTTTGCCACCTAATGGCAACATGTTGCTAAAGAAAACAAACAGAAAGTTGCACAATGCACAGCGAGGTACAGAGAGATGACAGAGTAGCATGATTTCATTTTGGCTCATAGAGACCTTTTAGATTAAGAAGTACAGAAGCTTTCATCACATATAATTGGCACAATTTTCTTTATAAAGAATAGATGGCATAAAATATTCGAAGTACAAACAGTGTATTTGTTTCAGATTTCAACAGGCTCTATTAAGACACACAATCCAAGAGCAGCTGTACACTAAATCATACAGATCAAATATGCTGGGTTAGAATCACAAAATGAAAAAAAACCTTTGCATAGGCTCTAGTAAGGTCTTTTTTATAACACAACAAATCAAAGATTCCCTTTGCATCTGCTATGATGCAAAAAATTTCAGCTATAAGTGCATATAACAACAAAAATAAATTGTTCAGTGTACCTCCGTCCCTCCTTCAGCAGCTCTATGTCTGGAGGTCTGGAAAAAGAAAAGAGAATGAACATTTTCCTGCTAAATCTATTGTCTTGAAATACACATGTATACAAAACCAGTTGAGTTTGGAAGGGACATCTGAGGATCTTCTAGTCCAACACCCTGTGTTCAAAGCAAAGCTGGCAAGAGGAGGTTTGTGCACGTGTTCAGGGAGCGTGACTCTTGTGCCTGCAGCACAAAGCTGCTACAGTGAACACAATTTAATGCAGTCACCAAGTCACACAAAGGTTTGTCAGAAAGGACCCCTGGAAGGCTCTACTCTGATCTTCTGCTTGAAATGCAATTGTCACCAGCACTAGGTTAGGTCAGCCACAAATTCATGAAGTTTAAATCTTGAAAACCTCCCAAGACAGAGATTTCAAAACATTCCTGAGTATCCTGTTTCATTCCATCATAACCTTAATACAGTATTTTTCCAAATGTCCATCCTGAACCATGTGATTATCTGTGGCCATCAACCAAGAATAGTTTGGCTTTGTAATCTTTCTAACTTTTTTCAACTAGTTGTACACTGCTTTCAGATCACCCTTTGGTCTCTTCTTCAAACAAGTGAACATGCCAAGATCCTCAGAGATCATAAGGTTCCTATAGTAAAGACAATTCTGGGCTATTGATGGGAAAATGTTTCAATTAATGTAAAAATATGAATATTCATGCTATTTTTCAATTTTACTTTGTTAAAAACTAGGCTGCCAAGTTATATAATTTTTTAAAGAAAATGGTTTTCAAAGGTTTCCAGAAACTTAAAATATTACTAAACAAATTCTGACGAGTTTCTTCCAAACCCGTACTTGCAATTAATCTACTTCAGTTATGAGGCAGCATGACACTCCTATTCCTCTTATCCAATACCAAAAGATAAAAATCTAATGTATCCTATGATTGAAAGAAAAGGCACTAAATGCAAGTCAGTGTACTAACACCTTTCAGAATGTAAAAGACCCTGCAGGAAGTTGCACCACTCATATCAATAAACTGAATTTGGAAACTAACGGTGATAACGCAGTGTGATTTAGATTATTAGCTTCATATAATTCTTCTTTGGAGTTTTAAGTGGAGGTCGTAGTCTCTTCTGTCAAAGGCATTTCAAATACTCTACTGTGTCAGTGTGTATCGGTGTGTGCACATGTATGTGGTTGTGCAAAGAAGTGTAGCTAGCCAAGAACTATCTGGGAGTTTGTTAGTTTGTTTTTAGAAAATAATGCCTCCCCACCACCACCCAGAATAAATAATTAACTATGTCAGGCATAGAAGAACTTTTGATGTGAAGAATAAAGGGAGATTTTAGAAACACTTTCTTGAAGACAGCAAAACATTACCTCAAAAACACTGGTAAACTTAAACTTTTAATGAAGAGTCTAGTTTTACCTACTAGAATACCTCAGATCTGATGAGGCTGCTGTAAAGCTCTTCTCTCATTGATCATGTATTTGTTATGACACATGTAACTCCAACTAGTTTCTTTTGTTGAAAGCCAGGGACTATGAGAAGTAGCACCTTGGAGAATGAAAACTAAGTAAATTTGCTGCACATTCTCTATGCCAGTCTTTGTTGTTCAACAGTGACACCCATTGGCTCCACTGATTATTTGCAAGCCCGTGTTCTAAGATGGGAACATGAACTGCATACACTGTTCCAAAATGTGTATTGCAGGAAGAACAAGAAATAGGCAATCAGAGATTTAGACTGGATAAAAAACTTCTTCGTGTCATAGACTGCTTTCAGATGCAAGCATTCATTGTCTAAGCTTAAGATCAATGCCAAGTGCTGTGCTAAAATTAGAAGATCTCTTGTAACAGAGTAAGATTATTCCAACCTGTTTGTAAAAATTCAATCCCAGTCAGTCCATTTTAAAGTTAATAGGAGTTGACTGTTTTTTTCTGACTAGTCTGCCCTCTAAACTAACATGGTCACATCTGCTAAGCAGATGAGAGTAGTACTGAACCATGCCAATTACTGTAACCCATACAGCTACAACACTTTTAAAACAAACACCATGCTAAGCTAACATGTTAACATCAGCTACCTCTGCTTCAGCCAAATAATTTTGATGAGCTGCAACTCTTAATTACCACTGCAGATGCATAGAGAAATAATATTCTCAAAAGGTGCAATGAATGCATAAGATTATACTTACTTTTCTTCTTCTCTCATCCACACTGGACTTTTGGAAATTTGAGCTTCAAAATATTTAGATGCTCTATAGCAAAAGTTGCTGCAAAAGCACTGGCAATGAGAGAAAGCAAGGAAACACGACTAAGGTCAACTTTAATACAAAGAAAGGTACAAAGGTAATTTCTTTTAATGCCTGTAAAATGAACTACCAATACATGTTTCTTTTCAAGCCTATGGCCAGAGTTTTAATCCACCTGAGAAACCCAACCTATGGTCTATCCCATTCTGCACAAGCCACATTTAGCTGCTTCTTTCCTCCCCATTTTTCTGCTTTCTGCACTTTTATTACACACTGAGGAGCAAACCAGTATTGGATTCTATGTAACAGTAATTTAAAAAAACCCCAACAAACCAACCAAACCGTTCAAAGAGGAACCCATAACCCAATATGCTGTTCACACAGTTTGAAAGACATACAATAAAATTCAAACATCTAATAATGAAAATTTTGGTTAGCAACAGAGCCTGGTATTTTGTAATACTTAGAACAACACCTAAAAATCTGCAGCATCTTTGAAAAAAAGATGCAAACTTGCATCATGAGGGGAGAAAACAAAGCATCCGACTTCTTGTTGGAGTCTTGCCTGATTGCTCATGAAAGCAATTCCTAAAATTCTGTGTATCCCAGAGTTTTAATTAGAGGAAAGGAAGGCATTCCAGTGACACTGAAGAAATTTGTTCTGTAACTGGAAACATTTATGTTACAATTTAGTGTCTACCTGCCTGTAGGTGATTGTGTATCCTGTGAAATGGCAAAGATGACATGCAACCACATGTGAATATGAAGAGTTAGGTTTTATGTTGAAAAGTCCTCAAAAAAGAAAGCAAAATGTTCCCCAAAAATAACACTAAGGGATATGTAAGATGCAACTTGTACTGAATTACTGCAAACTTCAGTGATTGAAAAGAATGTTCACTCTGACCTTACTAAAGCTCACTGACTATGCTGGAGCAAAATAAAGAACACTTCTTCACAAATGCCTTTAACAGATCAGCTGTGCCACATTCAAACACCTACCCAAGTTAAACTTGCCATCTTATGTTTAAACTTGGAAAACACATGGATTTTGTCTCACCAAAGATATCATCTAAGAAGTGAAATGCACGCAAAATTTCAACAGTTTGAGAAAATTATTTTCATAAGAACCAAACATATTTGCCTCTGAATCAAGTCACTGTATGAATGCTGTTACAAAATGCATTTCTGATGTTGTCACCATTAAACACATTCTAGAAATACCCTTGTTACCATACCTTTCTTTCAGTGATATCATAAACTCTGTTTGTTTTTGTTGAAATTCTATACTTCTGCTTCGGCACCTAAAATAACATAGTTTCATCAGCAAGACTGTCAGTTCCATCATGACTACAGAGAAAACTTCATTCTTAATTCACATATTTGGGTATGTGCAATATATTCTAATTAACTGAACTGCATACTACAACCACCTTTTCTCTCAGTTCTTGTGATGTTGCACCTTCTCAGATGTAAGAATGGCAGTTTAATCATATACATCTCATTAATCAGTAAAAGGCAGCTCCACAGCTATAAGAAAATCAGTGCTGAACATAAAACAATGGAGCTGCCATGGCAGAAGCTTTCCTTGTGTGTAAGTGCAGAGCAATTACAGACAGGTCCTTCCTTAATCCAGATCTATTTATATGCATGTGAGACTGAACTGTCAGACCCCCACCACCACCCAGACAAACCCAGAGGAACTTATGCAAACTGTAACAGTTTTGAAATTAACATCTAAGCAAATAAATGAAGTCCAAACCAGTGAATTGTTTTGTACATCACTAGATTGTTTCCAGGTAAGCACATGTAGCACTGGTATTACATCACAGGTTATCTAACTGACCTCTGAGTTCTGCTTAAGCTCTCACACATCATAACTGAGAGGGGGGACTTTCATACTGACACAGTTGTCATACATTTTCATAGCAGATATATATATGCATTTACATAACAATACCCCTGCACTGTATTGTTTTTCACTTCAATCTTTCTCACAGACATCTGTTGCTACACTGACAGAAGAACAAGATTTCAAAGTTTTCCCATTCACAAAGGAAGGCCATGAAGCCACAACTTGTACATCTTTATCCCTGTCAGAAGAGATACACAGATTCTGATCATACAGTAACTGATTCTGTCATATAATAACTGCTGTCTGCTGATCAAATTTCACCTTTCACTTTAGAAAGATTATACTGAAATTATACTGGAATTATATAATGTCCAGCTCCTTACTTGACAGTAATTTGTGCTTAATATTCTAAGTTTAAAATTAAAAGGAAAATGCAAGAGAATAAAAATTGTGAAAAGATTCCTTTGATAACAGCATTAAGGAGAAGCAACTTACATTTTCCAGCTTATTCTGACATAGAGGATAACCACACAGTTTGATGATAGACCGTTCATCAACAACGTCCTTATAGTGAGATGGAGTAATACATTTTCCCTAAAATGACAAGAAAATAGTTCAACAACAAATACTGGAAAACTTGCCAGCTTTTGTACTCAAAACATCTCTTAAGCATATAAACATCTTAAATTTTCTAGCAGTTATTCATTAAGTTTAATAAACAACACTGAGAACATATACAGTAGAAAAGGTAAAGGGGTAAAGAGAGAAGGAAAACAGACCTCAGCATTTCTTTTTTACATATACAAAACCTTCACAGTTCTGCCTCTAGTGTGGCACCTATATTTGTAATTTTCCTCTATGTATGTGTTTTGTACGCCTATTAATCAGCCTACTTACAACCTTTACAACCTTATTCTTAAGAATAATCATCCTATTCCAGCAAAACTCTGCTGCCAGATAACTGTGGTGCCTTATAGAGACTTCGTGCAAATTTACAGACAGTATAACATGAACCTAAATTTTCTCAGTTCACCTGCCAGTCCAGAACCACAGAGGTATAAACAAAGGCTGTGACAGAAGAGTGAGGATTCATTAATGTACACCGTCCTGCAAAACTAGGGCATGTTTTCACTACAGAACCCTAAAAACATGGAAACTTACCAGAGCTGGTACAAGAGGGAATCAATGGTTTAGCTATTTCAAATTGCAGCAAATTGCTCCAAAAACTTTTAAAAAAAGTACCACACTATGATACAAAACAGTATAAAAACTTGCAACACCTACACAATTTAGAAGGAACTGTTCAGTAATGTCCTCTTCCAGGAGCTGCTCAACAATAGACAATGCTTTTTTCTCACATTCAATCTTGTTTCTCAGTGCAGCCTCCAGATCTGCTTTCCTGTAACAGAACAGACACTGAATGATTTCCATAAACAATTTTCCAATTGTATTTTTATCTTTTTTTTCTGAAATACAGCTTATATATATTTTTTTTTGTATCACACCATGTTGGCCAAACAAAGCAACAAGTAACTGGACTAGTAATTCTCTTACAACTACAAAGGGTTATATATTTCATACTGGTTTGCTTTATTTGCTGGTCAAGAAAAGTATTGACTCTTACTATATTGCAACACACTCCCTAAATTTTCTTGCAAGAGAGAAATCCAGAACTGGCTGGACAAAGAACCTGGGACAATTATTTATGGAGTGTTGTCAGGAAAAAAGGAACTGTGTATTCTTTTTTTCTTCCCATGAAGAATGGGAAGAAAAAAAGAACTAGGACATGACTGAATGTGAGGTTACAAAGTAAAGGTAGGAATAAAACAAAAGATTGCCTCCTCTTGAGTGTAAATAATTATAAATGGCAGGTATGTAAAGAAGTTAAGACAGGAGAAAGCAAGCACTACAGACTAAGGAAATACAATTTTGGACGTTAGATTACAAACTTTCAGTATGTTACACAATGCTCAGATGTGCATGCTGTTAGAAGTTACAGAGCATCATGCCAAACATGTCCTATGTGATGTTGATGCTGGTGATTTACTGAAGTTAATCGTGGTACTCTGAGAAAGCAAAGTCTCTGCAGCACAGACTGCGATTTCAACATGAGGCAAAACAACACAAATATCACACACTGTTCCTCAGAAACTATACCTCTGAGCAGCATCTTCATTTTTCTGAGCAGCTGAATGCTTATTTCCTAGAAATTAAATATACAAAATATAGAAATATAAATACACAAATATAAAAATTAGTGTACTTTCCTAACAGTGGAAGATGTTGGAACCTGAAAAATTTAAAACCTCTAAACTGTAAGCACAACCAAGATAATTTTTTAGTAATTATCATTGCTTTTGATGGCTGTGATTTCAGTAAGCTGGTATGCAGCAACCAGTTAGATACACTTTTTGAAGTGTGAAAACAGACAGCCCCAACTAATCTCATACTCTCATTCACCATGTTCTGTATACACAAAAAAGGGAAAAAATTCTGTCAATAATTCTGTGCCAGCCGCACCCCCCGTGTCTCTTTACCCAGCTGGTAAAGCCCAGTTTTTCCCCGGCACTCCCCTGCCGTCCCCACAGCTGCCCCACGACAGGCAGGGCTGTGCTCCGGGCCAGGCCCAACGCGGGCACCGTGACACAGAGCCGCTGTTGCCGCCCTGTCCCAGCTTCCGAGCCGGGTGTCCCGGGCAGCTGCTCCCCCACGACAAGGGCAACAGGCAGGGGAGACACCGGGCTGTTACCCTGGGCAGGACGCAGGGCTCAGCGCTCTGACCGCTCAGCTGCACGACCGCCGTCACAGCCCGTCCCCGCCGCTCGGGGCGGGCCGGCCCCTCACAGCCCGAGGGGACCAAGGGTCCCGGCCTCGCCTCGTCCGCCTCATCACGGCCCCGCACCCGGCCCGGCAGAGGCCCACAGAGCCGATCACGGCCGGCCCGCCGCTCCCCTCGGCTTGGCGGGTTGGGCGAGTCCGCCGCTGTGCCGGTCTGGGGGCGCAGGGAGAGCCCAAAGCGCCAGGCGGGGGAGCCGGGGCTGGCGCGCGATCCCGGCGCCCACCTGCGCGCCGCCGGCAGGACTTGCCCGTCCCGGCCGCCATCATCGCCATCACCGCGGCTCCGCCCGCCGACCTCTCACCCGGGGCGGGGCCGGGAGAGGCGGCAGCGCGGAGCTGAGGGGTTCCTCTGGTAGGGGCTGAGGTGAGGTGGTGCGGTGCCCTTGTGGCTTTTAATTCTAGCCGTGTGTTACAGGCTGAGGCTGGCAGCCTTTTCGTCCCACCCTGGGTGTTGTACCGCCCAGAGAAGGGGCCGGGGTATCTGTTTATTAGGAGGGAATTTGGTGGGTATTAATAGAACGTTTCACATGATTCAGATGCTGTCCACTTGCCGCTGAAACCTTCTAAAAGATTCAGCTGGAAACCGGATTAAGTATTAAGGCCGGAGACCATCTGCGGGCTCAGCCGGTAAATCCCTGCCACACGGTGGGTGCTTGGGGCGCGTTTCAAGGCTGTGAGTACATTGGGAAGTTACTGAGGGCTGAAAAGGCAACAGTACTGGCGTTCGAAAGTATGTTAAATTATTTTGGTGGGATTAGTAACATTCTGTAAAATGAAGAGCTTAAATAGTACAACGTGTGGTAAGAAAGTGTGTGGTAATGATCTGGTTAAAATGACAGGCTAGAAAGGATAGGTTTCAGTGATATACAGATGCCAAAATGGGCCGTGAAGAATAGAAAGTGAATTGTTTATTCTTTGAATAAAGAAGGTCACATAAAGATGCCTTTTAAGCTTTTGTGAGTTTTCCCCTTATGTGAGCACGTAGATAGGTTCTTTATCTGTGTGTTGTCTCATGTAGGTGCGCTGGTGTTTGGCCAGCATCAACCCACCACATTCGGTCAAACGTAAGCAGAAAGGCTGAGGACATTGCATAGAGATGCCTGTGTTTTGATGAATAGTTACCTAATTAACAAGGTGTAGAGGTAATTGACAGTCATAGTGATCCTATAACCAGATTTAGGCCCATGGCATTACTTAAATCATAAATATTATGACTGCTGCTATGATATATAACCAGGCTTGACTGTATTTGTATTTGGCCACATAAAACTTGGTACATACTTGACATTACTCAAGTGTATAACTTTGTTGTTTTTTAGCAAGAAAGCTTTAAATTTTAATACCTAGAGGTAAAAGGCTGCTGAACTAGTCCAACCTAGCTAGCACTAGAAAAAATTCAATGAAACTGCATATGTAATCTTGACTGGACTGTTGATATAAACTGGCATGGTGTTTGGATCAGTGCCTTCACATCCCAGATATCAGGTTAGTGTGTTCCAGTCAGGGCTGAGCAGAAGCTCCTCTGGTCAGAATAGTCACAGAAAATGTTGTGTGTCATGGGTGTGCACACTTGCTGTGCAGTGAGGCCAGACTTGCTCTGTGTTAGCTGCAGTTTTCCATGTATGTGCCTACAGTAGTCACTGAAACCTTCACACTTCTTAAGATGACCCAGAAAGTACTTGAAAAATTGTTTCCCTGTACATAGAATGCAGGTTGTTTCCTGTCTGTAATTCTGTCTCCTGCATATATGAAGAGTAGAATAATATAGCATATACTTTGAAAAATTAATTTTCTCTTATTTTATAATTATGCTGTCTTAATATTTGTCTAGGTTGTTCTTATTCCTCCATTAACATTTTTTTGATAATGTAATTATTTTTCAGCCTCTGTTTTAAGTTCGTGTGATATAATACTGCCCTCTTTAATTTATAATAAATTTTCATGCCAGAAGAACACAGTCAAACTATAATGGCAGTTGATGAACTTCAAGCCATAATACAAAGATGCGTAAGTAGTTTTCTTTCCTTAGAAGTAACAAGTGTCAGTAGTGTAAGTTTCTTTTCATATATTAGAATTAAAGCCAAAATGACCTCAAAAGACAAGTCAGTTGTTAGTAGAACTTTTCATGGGGTGGCTAAGTTCAGCCTCCATATTTCATTGACTTCTCTGTGGTGCTTATCCCAAGATGCTTGATTATTTCTGCTTCTTGGAGAAGGAAGTGTTTTTGTACCTAGGAACAAAAGCTGGTAGTTGTAGAAAACACATCTTCAAAAGAGAATGCTGTAGTCTAGACTTAGTGCTATTGAAATACTGCCTTGTCTTCTGTAGTAACTTGGTAGCTTTTTTAATATGTGGAAAATGTATAAAAGTTACAATGATATTAAATTTAATTTTGAAATGAAAGCATGGATTTTCTTACTTCTTAATTGACTTTTATAAGTATGGAGTTAAACAATCGTATTTTCTTTCTAGCAAATTCTGGAAGAAGCTGATTTCAAAGGAGAAGATTTTAATCTGTTTCAGGTAGCAGGTCAGAAATGTTTGGAAGATGGATATGCAGCTCAGTTATTAGAAGTTATTCAAAATGAGAAAAACAAGGTGAGTTTAAGCTTGCACTACATATTAGTGTTTATTAACATCATTAAATATAAACCTGCTTATTAAGAGGGGAAAGCTACTTTCTCTGTGGAGCAAGGCTGTACATATGAATAGCTAATAAGCTGCTCTGTGTTAGGTGCACATTATTCTGTATTCAGGTAGCTCACTGAAACCCAAGTCATGGTAATCTTAACAAAACCATTAATAACTGTGAGTGAAGCAAAGAGAAAAGGAAGCAGAAGAAGCATAATGAGGAGAAAGCAACAGTGTCCTGCTTCCACAGGACAGGGATTTCAGATGGTGTACTGCGTCCAGCTGGCATGGAGTTGGCTTTCTTCATGGCAGCCTGCATAGTGCTGTGTTTTAGATTTGTGACCAAAAAGGTGCTGATAATACACCAGTGTTTCAACTGCTGCTGATCAGTGCTTGTGCAGCATCAAGGCCTTCTCTGTTTCTCACTCTGCCCCCAGTAAGCAGGGAATTTGGGAGGAGGCACAGCTGGGACAGCTGACCCACAGCAGTGAGATAGTCCATGCCACACAACATCGTGCTCAGCAGTAAAGACATGTGGATGGGGACCCATTCCAAAGTAGCTGTTGTTTGGAGGCTGGCTGGGCATTGGTTTCCTCATGGGAGTTGATCTGCATCATTCCCCATCATGCTCTGCTGTCTTCTCTCTTTCAGTTACTACATTGGCCTTATCTTCAGGGCTCCTCTGTTTTGCTCTTTTGACTCTCAGCCCTATCCCACTGAGGGACAAGAGCAAGCAAGCAGCTGAGGGGTGCTTAGTTGCTGTTGGGGGTTAACCTACCACAAATGGATATAATAGTATTGGCCAGCTGTAGGGGCCAACTAGGCTGATGCTAATTTGAAGTACTGATGTCTGTGGGCATTAGGGATGCTGGGACAATATATCAAATTGAACAGAGATAAATAGGAAGTTCAGAAATAAAGCAAAGGGTAGAATATTTTAGCAATGTTATGTGGGGTTCACAGTCTGGTTTTGAATTTTGTGAGTTTGGAGTAACAACTGAAAGTCTTAATCCCCTCATGAATAATTTGTCCAAGTGTTCTTTCAGCACAACTCCTCTGCTCAGTCCCATTTTAAATGTATTGTCATGGACATTTAGAAGTATATATTGACATGTCAATAATTAGAAGAAAACTATACAATAGGATCACCTGTGTGTATAGGTATGGGGAGAGGATACAGTGTGTGTCAAATTATGGTAACCATTGCTAAATATTCAGTGACAGTAATGGTTACAACCAGGACATTGATCTGTTGTTGCTTTTGGTCTTTATATATACAGTCTTTCTGGGTTTAGAAGACATCCAGTTTTGGTTTATTCTCTGAATATCTGGTTTTTAGGTTATCATCAAGAATATGGGTTGGAATCTCATTTCTCCTCTTGTTAGATGTATTTTTATGTATAAACAAGAAGATGATAAGCGAGAACACTGCCTGAGGATACTAGATCAGTTGGCACAGGTATGGTTTTGAAATACATGATTGTGATACAGCAATGTTAGGGAAGTTCTGCACAAAAAGGGGTGCTAGATCATGAATCCATGAAGCTAGTACACCAAAGGCCAGTTACACAAAATAAATGTTTGTACAATTTAATTCTGACAATATTTGCATAATGAGTCTACATCACTACTTGAGTAAGCTGCTCTGAGTTTAACATTGCCTTGCCTCAGTTTAAGGTTACAGAGAATTCTAAATTCATGGTGTATGTTCAGTGGGTAGGGCTCTTTGTTTGGAAGTGGTAGGCTCAGCATCAGAGCCTTTCACATGAAAATGAGCTAAGTTGATCTAAAGGACACAATCTTACCTGAATTAGCTAGCTGGAGTAAAACTTACAGTACTTACTGTTGCTAAATGTGTTTTCCAGTATCTAATTCAAGGTCTCCGTTCATGTTCTCTCTTTAGTTGTTTCAAAATCGTTCTGCAAGACCTTGCCATTTTCCACTTATCTCTGTCTGAATAGTATTTATTGTTCTCTTTTCTATCATTCACTTGGAAAGGTATTTTCCTTAAAGCATTCACCCTTCCTCAATGTGAGAATCATTACCTGATGATTCTGATGGAATAGGAGCAGAAAAGTGTTTTAACCTGTAAAAACTCATTCTCTTTAATTTATGCACTCCAAAAACAACTTGCAAACTTTATAGCTTGAGTTAAATTCACACTCAAATTCTACTTCTCTCTCTGCCCCTAAGGATCGCTTTGCAAAGGCACTGTGAGGTTTTTACAGCCTGTTAAAATCAGGTTTAGTGTCAGTTTTTACTATTCTATGTTTTCAGCTCATATGAAAGTGTACACACATGTATGCTCTACAGTAGATGTTAATTGTAGGCATGTACTTACTGTTTCATATTTGTTTTCTTAAACCTTATCTTGGATGTTCAGATTGTCTCTCTTGACATTCAGGAACTTCTGTATTGCATGTGATTTATTTTTTTGATTATGACCATGGTTATTTAAAAATATGCATTGTTCCTCTCTTGCAGCTCTGCAATCCAAAGGAACTTTTTTTGGGTTTACTTGAGCAGATTGAGCAGACCTCTGGAGAGCAAGTGTGTCAAACTGTGATGTTATTGCTTCAGCCTTTGCAGACAGGTGGGATTCAGTTTATCACGTATTTCTGAGTTGAATTATTTTCTCATTTATTTATCAATTTAGTTTAGCCTCTGCTGGAATGGTTTCAGAATAAATCTGTCCTGACAAGCTTTACAGTCTATTATATTCTGCAAAATAACACAAGGCATATATTTCATACTTATATTGGCCTGTTAGAAAAACATTTTAGATGGAACAAATAGCATCAGTTGAAAAAGCAATATTCAGCTATTTTTCATCATTTACAAGAATGTGGTCCTATGACAGTTATATTTAGAGGTGTAAAGCACTCCTAATATTGCTGCAGAAATAGGGCATCACATGGATTTGTGAAATTCTTCATTATTTGACTTCTAAAACTTGCAATTCTATTTTTTTTAATAGTATAAAACTGTAATTTTGATTGAAGCTTGTTGAAATACTTTATTGGTGAGGGGGCAGTGTTATTCTGGCTTACATATGAATACTTAAAATGTTGGGTTTGGCCACTCTCTTAAGTAGGTAACCAGCAGTAGTTTCTGTTTTGTTATGAGATGAAATTGTGTTGTGTATCAAGTTGAAGTATGACTGTAGCAATCTCCAGGATATGTTATTATATTATGTAAGAATTTAACAAGAGAAATCTGTGATTTTTTCATTAGCCAATCTGCAATTATTCTGCACTGAGTCCAGTTAAAGTGGAGAGCCTCTGGTGCTGCTTCCTCAGTCTGGGAGTGTGTCTGTTATTTTTGCCATAGAGCAAAAACCAGAGTCAGTTCTCAGCAGACAAACTGGGCTATTGTCTCTGGTTTTGCCAAGGACAAAAGGAGTCAAGGAACAAATGCATTTTCTGGGTCAAATATGTATAACTTCACTTAGCCCAGCTCTAGAAAACATTTTTTTTAGTCTTCATCCTGGTGCTGTGGAGAAAGGAAGAACATTGAAATGTGTGATAGATTTACTATTTGTTATTTACAAATACATGGCCATGTTAACTACAGTATATTAAACTAGGTGATGATGTTTAGTCTTGCTGGATTTGCCCATGTGATTTCAGACCTCAGTCCCTCTCCTTCCCTGAAAGCAAAATGTTTTCTTACCTAGTCACATTGTTTTTATTCGTGTTTTCCTCTATCAAGTAAGTAATAATTTAATGTCTCAAAATGTTCTCTCTTCTTTCCCCTTTCTTATTTTCTTTCCCCTAGTGCTTTTGAAACTTCAGAACAAGAAGGCCTACTCAGTGGGTTTGTCACTGGCCATGATTATGAATCAGCTCACTCCCTTACCTGTACCTTATACAAAACAACAAATACAAGAAGATAAACTTGGTCTCTGTCAATGCTGTAATGCAGTGGTGGACTTTGCTAAACCTTTTGTGAATGAAGTTGTTAAAAATATGGAAAAGTCATCAGAATATAATGACACGGAGCTGAAAGAGGAATTAATAAAATTGTGAGCATTTTATGTCTGTGCTATATATTCCTGTAACTTAACAAATTGCATAGTAGGCATTTATTGTATAGGTAGCAAATAAATTATCTTGTAGTGTTTTATAATGCTGCCAACATATATCTAACTAATGTGGTATTTTGACAAAGAACCCCTAAATATATCTTATATATTTATGCTTTCTGTTTAGTAGAGGGAAATGGTAAAGAACTATTAGTTGGTGCATTGTGAAGCTGAGTTGGTATTCCTCTGTTCCTCAAATTTCAACAGTGAGAATAAGCATAGTCTGGAGGTGAAGCCTAAGTAATGCTTCTTCAGGAGATGTTGGTTTTTTGGTTTTTTTTATTCTCCTTGGAATACCTTGAATAGCAGCAGCTGATATGAATATAGGCATTATTCTTGATCATCAGTGACACTATCATAGTCTGTATTTTTGACTGTACTGGTGATTTATTCCACCCCTTTCTTTTTTAGCTGTATGCAAACCCTGAAATACCCATTATTGACAGCTCAGCTTGAAGAACTTGAGGGCATTGAAGAACATCCTTTTCGGCATTTTGCAACTGAAATTATAGTGAGTGCAGTGGAAATGAATGACAGCGTGTGCGGAACCAGCCGTCCCGTTCACAATTGCTCTAATTTGTTCTGCTGCTCATTTTGATTTCTGTATTGCTTGGGGGGATGACTTAATGGGCTGTGTAGGATATATCCTGCCTTTCCAGTTGGGCAGAGTCTGAAACCAGGTTTTTAATGCTAATTATGAATTACCTTTTCTTCTCTTTCTCAAGAAACTTCTGTTTATGGCTTTAGGTAGTGAGAGCTGAAGCTAAGGTCAATAAGTTGTGCTTTGACTGTATGACATCTTGCATAATTCTAATTTTCCAAAATGTGCCATCCTGGATGTTGGTTTTGGACAGCTCCAGAATAGTGAGCTGACCTTGGTCTCCCCATTTCTCTGTAGTATGTAAAAGAGGAGTTACACTATGTCCTCAGCCACATGAAGGGTGTCAGGAGGTAACCCCTGTAGTATTTCAGATGTACAAATATCAGGGGTTCCTTGTGTTGTGCAGCGTGGGAAAGAAAGGCCATACAAAGCAAATCTAACTTTAAATCAGGGCTTGCCTTTAGCAGCTAAACATTGTGTTCCATATTGATTAGTGAGAAAAAACCAAAATACTGAGTATTCTGTGATCTGAAAACCACAGATTTTGTAATGTTTTTATGAGTCTGTTGTCACTCAGAACATTGGGGATACGGGAGCTGAACTAGGAGTTTGCAGATGGTCTTCATTCTCTCTTTTGTTAACTTTTGTGTGCTTGACTTTGCTGTCTTAGTAACATTTTTCTAACACTAGTTATTTCTCCTACAGGATTTTTAATGTTTGTGCTTATATCATAAATACTGCATATATATATTACAAACATAACATTTTTATTAATTTATATGCATGTACAAGAGAACGTATGTACATACAGTTAGAGCTTTAAAACTTAATTGGCATACAGTTACTTTAAAGGCAACTATAGGAAATCTGTTTTTATTTTTTAGGACATTTTGTGGAATACAGGAGAATTGATACCATTAGTGTTTGTACATCATAAAGGCAAAAGTCCACACTGGGAGAATCAGGAGTTTGCAGATATAGAGCGAAAGAATTCTGCTGATGCTTTGGCATGTCTGTCATACCTGATGTTTGTTCAGCATTTTGGTGTTGAATGCTTTCCAATGGTTTTTAGGTAAGAACTGTTCTTTCTTGCTCATTGTACGTCTGTACTTTGAAGATTCTTTCTGAGTGGAAGAGAACTTTGTGAATAGTTATGAATGAAAACTGTATTTCAGTAGTATTAATTTTGTGTCAACATTTATGCCTTTATATTTTATGTAACTTATGTTATATAAAGAACATACTCCTACAGATTAGTCTAGTGTAGTTTAATTTTAGATAAGCTGTCCTTTAAAAGAAACTACTATGATTAGTCACATGCTGAAAATTAATGTGTATTAATTGTTCATTTACATATCTATAGACAGTTTCCCCATAAGAATTCTTAACAGTGATTTGACTTACAATTTTTTTGTTTGTTTAAAAATCAATAATTTTAGAAACAGATTTTATTTTTTTGAAAGAATACTAACCCTGAAGAAGATATTAATTATGTGAAAAAGTATATGGCTTATGCAGTTTAATGTAGCCAGATTCTTCTCTTCTAGTCCTTCATACCTTCTGCTGTGCAATATGACACATATTGAAGTGCTGCTGAAAAGGTAGGGTTTGTGGAATTTGCAGGTCTAGATAGTGAGTGTGATCTTTTACAGTAACTCATAAAAACAAATTTGAAACATATAGAATTTCAGAAGAGCCTTATAAACTTGAGTATTAAAATGGCAAGTTTCAATATAAGATGGCTTCTCTTATGAAGAAGCAGAAGTTGTCTAAACATTTATGTATTGTTTTCATCTTGTATTGTGATAACATTTTTAGAAACTTTATTCTGAAAATATAAAATTAGTAGTTTAAAAACATGCAGAATAATTAGAGTGTATACTTTCTTGCCCTTCTATAACAATTATTACTAAAGGCAGCTATTGTGGAAATATTTATTTGAATGTGTTCTGACATGATATGCAAAATGATTAAAGGTCAGGCTTTCTAAAGGAAACCAAACTTTATTCTATAGTGTGATTATTTCACCCTCCATAAGCAGCAGTGCTACCAAATAGCTTCTAGCACTGCTATGGAAGGCAAGTTTCCTATTCTGACTGCTTATCATTTCATTTTCTTTGGTAATCAATATCTCAATACCTGTGAGAAATGACACTGCTTTTGAGCACGTATAAATACTGAGGGAAAAAAAGTCATTTTTGACTGTGAAGAGATCAGTCTAATGTTCAATTTCTCATCAGCAAATTTTAGAATAAACTCTTTGGGAAGAGTAACAAAGATTCTATACTTAAAAAATTGAATGAAAATTGTTGAGGGACACGTTCTTGTTGACCTCTGTTCTACTATTTCTTCGAAATATCAACTGTCTTTTTAATTGACAACTTAAATCTGATTTTTTTTTTCTAGAACAGAAGAATCTGTATTATCTAAAGGACTTGTAAGTTGTTTTTTTAAATTGAATTTTTGATGTAGAATGTTTTATTTTTTCAGTTTAAGGAATGGTAAAACTTTGTTTCTCCTTCTAAGAGAGGTATAACTGATAGTTCAGATAATAGTTACAGAAATATTTTGAGGCTTAATTAGGTATTCTTCAGCCTTACAAATACCTGTATTTATTGAACTGTACAGTCCTGCATAAATGTTTAAATTACAGCTATCGCTTATAATTGCAGCTGCTTGGAACGTGAACTATCTGAATGAGTATTAATGAGTGAAGGCTGTTGTAGCCATGAAATGTTAATCTGATAGATTAATTCCTGTATATGTGCACACTGTTGACATCTTCCTTTTCTTTTCCACGCCTGCAGGATCTGTTTGAGAGCTGTTTATTGAGAATGGAAGATAACAGCCTTCTCCATCACTATTTAGAATTCAGAGACTTTATTAATGTACCTCAGGTAATAAGAAACAGTGTACAGGAGTCTTCCAAGTTTGATTAGAAAAAATACTTAGCTGTCCTCTAGGTGTTTGAGAAGAGGGATCTTTCTGGACCTTTATAACCTGTGCTGTTTAATTGAAACCTTCAGTGTCTTGCTATACAGAACTGATTGTCTTTTCTGCCTGCTGCAGCATGAAGCTTCAGTGACAATTAAAATACACCCAGTGTGTGTGCAGGTCACTGAAGCAGGTGGGCACAGATCTTAGTTGAAAGGTGGTGCTTGCTCATTTTTGTCCCCTCCTTGCCAACCTGCAGCTTGGCTGCATTCCTACCTGGAACCAGCAGCACAAGAATAGTGTTCTTGCAGATCAGCCCTGGGATTCTGACTGCTGAAGCAAGCACTAATTTCTCTGATGAGAATCTTCTATTCCCTGGACATTCCCAAGTGTGCTGTGGGTTTTGTTGTTTGGTTTGTTTTTTTAAAGTCTTGAGTAGATTTTAGTCAGTGTGATGTAATGTAATAATTTGTATGTAATTGTAAATTGTATTTCCTTTCTCTGACTGCAGGATTTGGTGAAAATTATGACCCTTTGTCCCATGGAGCATATGGTATGTTAAGTGGCCTACAGAATCAGTTTTCTGGTTCTGTATTCTGATTCTGAATTCAGCATTCAGGATTCTGAATGCTGAATTAATTTTTTTAGAATTCATCTGATAAACATCTGTGTTTTCTTTAGAGAAAGAAGAGTTTAAATATTTTGCAGTTGTTCATAGACAAGTTTGATATAGAGGGAAAATACACATTATTCAGGTAAGCCTCCAAGTTCCTGTAGATTGTGTAATATCAGCCCTAGTGCAGCTTAATTGCATCGATGCATTGATCTCTGACAGAATTTCCATCTGATAAGCCACATTAATTTTACTGTGTTAATGTTTTGATAAATAATGAATTTCAAGTGCCTCATATAAAATTAGCTGTCTTATGTAAGCCAGTGTTTAAAGGTTACATAGTCATACTGTTCTTCTGTGGTAAAACTCCCACTTAGTGAATGTTATCTAAGTTTTGAGCTAACTCTATGGGCAGCTTTAAAGAGATAATATCTTTGTTTTGTTTGTTTGAAGGTGTTTACTGAAGACAAGCAACCATGCTGGTGTGGAAGGATACATTATTAAAAATATAAAGGATCAGATTCACTTAGCGTTAACGGTGAGGTTGACACCACTAAAACCCAAGCTGCCTTCTCAAAATTCTGTCAGTATGATATTCAGAACATGTCTACAACTTAAACTTCCAGTGGTACATTAAAAAAAATCCACTTTGAAAAGAACATAAGATTAGAAAATTTTATTAAAAACATTATTTTGTCTTTTAATGTCTATGGTTATTTAGGTTATAATTTTACAGTTGTATTTTTAATTTAATTATCTTATTGTATTTTTCTAAGAAGTTATTACCTTTTCTGTGCTTGAAAGTACATTTATTTCTTAAAGTGGAACTTCTCAGTATATTGTTTTATCCCCACGGTTCATTATTTTAAAAATATAATTCAAATATTAATGTTCAGATATAATTATTAATTTTTTCCTTGCTTTTATGATGACAGTCAGCATTTTATTATGAGTGCTTTGCACATGATAAATCCATCAGGAAGGGCTGGGTTAGATCAAAGCCATTTTAATCTCATAATAATTGTACCAGAAAGTTGGGAAAATTAATTAAAACGAAGTGATTAACTTTTTACTATGCAGCTTCAGAATTCTCTTGCTACATTTTTTCCATTTCTTTCCTGGCTGTCAAAAAGACAAAAAATTTTAAAATTGTGAAGAGGCTGATTTGTGAACTTCACTCCCAGGTCAATATTAGAAAACATTTCTTACAGGGTTTGATTATTTTTAACTTTTCTGTTTTATGCAAGTTACTGTTACAGTATTTAAGACCTAAATTTTGCACTCAGCTGAAGTTTTTGTATTTTTTTTTCAGAAGGAGTATGACAACATTTGGTTTACAGGATATCACCTGATCTCCCTTCTAGATTTAGTACTTTCACTTCCAGAAGGTGCTGAGACTGATCTTCTGCAAAACTCAGACAGGTGAGTTGTAATCACAGTTAAAAGCATTTCTTCTTCATTATTAAAAAAGACTTTAAACTACTTTACTACAATGATGTATGCTGTCATGTAATTAATGAGGTGACAACATCAATGTATTTTAAGGTTTTGGAACTAGAAATGGAAATGGTCACTTATTTTAACCAGCTCTGCATAGGAGAATGTCACAATGCCATTGCATTAATTTTTAACAATAAAAAAGGATGTCCTCCTTCATTCCCCAGGGATGTGAAATGACCTAACTAATGGGTAAAGCAGTATTTCCTCAGGAATGTATGGTTTGTCTGCTCTCTGCAGAAGCAGCTGAAGGAATAAAAGCAATGTGGTGTGGTGTCTAATATGATACAGGGGAATAATAATTAGATGCAACCTATGGTGCAAGGTATCTTTGAGGCAGTTTCAGAGATTGCTACTGGGAATCCAGTATCTCATGAGTAGGATTACAGATCCTCCTGAACAGTAAATAATTGCATAAAAAATAATAAAAAATAACTGAAATGTGTCTGAAAAAATCTTGTGTATATAGGGTAGGTGTTCCTATATGATAAGTAATATGATGATGCTTAGGCTTGTAAATCAGTGGGGAGATAATGTCCAGATGGACACACACCTGCTTAAAAAGCCCAGAAGTATGATGGTTAACTGTATTTGTTATCTGGAAAAAAACCAACTTATAATCTCTGCTCAAAATATGGTAAAACAAAAGCAAAAAAAAAAAAAAAAAATTAAAAGCACACTCTAAATTTTTACTCTAAAGTAAAAATTCAGTATAGTAGTAAAGAAAATTGTCACACTAGTTTCAAATCAACTTTGGATCAGCAGTGATACATATTCTACATTCTGTATTATACATATTATAAATTCTGTGATAAGGTTCTGTCTCCTGAGAGGACTCTTGCCCTTAAATCACCTCTGCAATCTGATGGCAGCTTCAGTTTTACTTGCAAAGTGTGAACTGTTGTATGGACATCGCTGCACACAGTGCTCTAGGTGGAGCTGTACTGCTCAAAAGATGGGTGGTTGCTTTTTGTACAGATGGATACTCCATACCAGCATGTCTGGCTAATGGACAATTAAAATTATAATCCTGGTAATAGGTATCTGTATGTTTTTAATTCACAGGATTATGGCATCACTGAATCTGCTGAGATACTTGGTCATTAAGAATTGTGAAAGTGACAATCAAGTAGGTACTATTTGATTTCAAAATGACTGATTAGCTGAGAGGTGGATTCACATGGGCACTGCTATCCTTGATTCAAAAAACGTGGGTTTTGCATTTTTCTTTGTAAGGGTTGGTTCCCCAGAAGTTATGCTTTTATTAAGACATTAGGAAATACGTGATCTGGTCCTTTGTTTTGATGAAATTGTTTGCATATATACTGTTCCTATAAACAAACTAATCATTTTACTCTGCCTGTTGAACTGTGATCTATCTCCATAACAACAGAGAATGTCACCACCAAATCACATACCCAACCAATATTCCCATATGAAAAAATTGTTATTTTTGCTTATTTATTTGCTGGTATCCCTCAAACCACCAACTGGGTATCTTTAGAGCAATAATAATACCATAATATAATTTTCTAGTTTCTAAAATAGAAAAAAAAAAATCTGATCTACTTTTAGACTAATTTGAGATCTGGGAATAAATTTTGTAAGTGCCCAATAATGTTACTAATCTAATTAGAATAACAGTGAAATAACGAGTACTGATTGCTAAAACTGTAATGAAAATGAAAAGCAAAACTAGCTTTCAGTGGCTGCATTTCTAATTTACCATTTATGTAACTAGTTAATATTGGTAAGACTGAATCAGTTTGTCATATTTAAGGGGTGGTTACTATTTTAAGTACTCATAATGGTCTCCTCAGTCACATGTAAATACATAGCTTTGTAAGAGAAGTAAGAATTCCTCTTTTATTATTAACAAAAAACTACACATAGTAGCTCTCAGCTGCTCTAACAGTGCTGTCTAGTACCTGGCAAAAAGAATGTCCATACAGCTTGAGGAAAAAATAGCATCACATCTTCTGAAGATTTTCCCTTAAATTTAGGCTCTGTCAGTTCTTCTTGACTTCTTCCCTGTCTCTCTTCATACAGTGCAAGTGAGGCAGAAAGAAAATGCCTCCTTCCACGTCAGTTCAGATATTTTGATTGCTGTGTAGCAAGCATTTTCATTAATCAAGTTTAAAAATAAGTATTTTTCTAGAAAGTTCCTTTTTTAAGCCACATTTTGGTGGAAGTAGTTGCTGTCCTTATTTGGACTGTTAACTGTGTCATTTAGTATTAAAATGTGGTGAATTTTCCACTGTCGTTAGTGGATTCACTGTATTTAAAATTGAAAATTTTTCTTTTTATTGTCCTTATTCTCCCCTTTGAGGATACTGCCTGAAGAAAGGAGTTGTATAAATGGCTCCTATATACAAAGCAGCCTTTGTGTCTTTGGATTTGTGTCCTGCTACAGCAGTTTGTAGCAAACCCAAGCTTATTTTCCTCTCTGTAACCCTGAACAGCCTTGGTTCTGAGCATCTTTTCCTTGCACCTCCTGCTTCCTGAATGCCATTATTGTAAACTCCTTCTTTCTGCCCATGTCAGACTGGGGAGAATTTTGTTGTCACTTTGGCTACTGTGTTGAAGGATAGGAGGGCAGCATATCCAGTAACATTCCTACAGTGCTTTCAAAATGCAATATAGACAATTGGGAAGCATGATATTTATCACAACTTTCTGTGGCATCACAGTACAGTGTTAATTCAGGAATGTTAATTTAAATATTTGTTCTGTTCTGCTGCTGAATTATCTGAGAGGAGCCTACAACTGCCATTTACCTGCTGTAGAGATTCTAGCCTGAGAAAGGGCCCAGAACCTGCCCTCCAGGTTGCTTAGTATTGCAATGCTTCACTGAAACTGTTTTGTAACCTTCTCTGTTCTGTTTGCCTAGACTGGTGTGTGGACCACACTTGGCAAGATAGAGCAGAATTTCTTAAAACCACTGCGTGTAGGACTCAATATGTCAAGAGCACATTATGAAGCAGAAATTAAAAACAAGAAAGAAAACAGAAAAGGTTGGTTTTTGTTTGTTTTTTGTTCTTAGCTTTGTTCATATCTAGAAACTTTGGTAATCCTTTGGAAATGAGGAACTGGTGAGTGCTGCATAGATCAAGTTTTATTTAACTGTTGCCACTATTCCAAATTTCAAATAATAATTCAGTAGTTGCTGCATTAAAAATTTTCATAATTGGTCAGAACTTATCTGAACTTATCTGTCATCCCATTAGTAAATCTTATGGAAACCTGATAGAACTGTCACACGAAGACCTTCAGAACTTGTTCTGCATTTATACTTTTGATTTTCATGTTACAAAGGAGAAACTTAAGTTTCTCTGAATACGTAACCCTTAGGTTTCATACCAGGTGTGGGAGGGTTAACAAGAGAAAAAATAAGTTGCAGTGCTCTCTAAAGCCTGAAGCATTACATTCACTTTTTTAAAATACATTATTTTTTTTTTTAATCTGACACACAGAATCAGATTCTGCTCTGGGTTAAGCAGACACATTGCACGGGGCACAAGAGCTGTAGCTGCTTTAGGCAGTCTCTCTGTATGTCAAGATCCTCTGTTCCTTGTGGTCTCCAGTATAATTAAGATAGCCCAAGGAATTTGTGTCTGCTACTAAAAATGTCAATACAGCTTTTTGCCCCTAGTCTTATCCTCTTCCATTGCAAACTATGTACTTATGAGGCAAAGAAGAGGACTTTTTTTCTGAAGACAACTTGTGGATATCTCTCTAAAGGGAATCCTTCAAAATTAATCAGGAAGCTTTTTCTTAAGTCCCTCTACAATTCTCTAGTCTTTGACAAAGTATAAAGAAATTTCAGACTGGGAGAGGACATCTAAATTGTAACAGTAAATGGTTTAGCTTTCTTCCCTTGTTTAATCTTTGTAAGCATTACACTGAATTTCAAACACGTGGTCTGAATGGAAGAGGTTTTCCCCTTATTTTTCAGACCTGTCCTTGTAGTTTAGTCTACTGCAAGTAATCTGTCTATAACAGAGAAGCCTGCAGCCTTTTCTTAATAAAATAAGTATTTAATGTCTGGATTCATTCAGTCAAGCTAAAGAACCTCCTACTATCTCTCTGGATGTGGAAATACTAAAAATGTATTAAAACTGGGCCAGATAACATTTATTTTTCCTTGTGAAGAGCATGTGAGCTCTATCAAATTAGTTCCAGTTGCAGATCTTGCCTGTTCAGTAATGTAGGCATTTGTGTTATGCAAAGTATAAAGACATCATCTAACTCCAGTTGTCTTCCTCTTCAGGTCTGTCATGTGTTTTGTCAATCCCTAGATTTCTGTTCTTAACAATTACTGTCATGAAATGCTGATATTTTAAATATTCTTTTAATTCTAAGGGTCATGTTGGTTTCTTCATGTTCTCTTCTACAGAAGCACAAAGTTCTAACACAGTTTGCTCTGTAACTGTTAGTGGGGAAAAGATGCCTGCCATGACTACTGGAATGCAGCTTCAAGTGAGTTTGCACTTCTCTTCAATCACTCTGAAGTACTGAGTGCATTTTTTTTTCAATGTAGAGACAAAAGTAAATGTAAAATGTGTAAAAAAAATAGAATAAAAATAACACTCATCTTTCTTGTCATTTCAGGTTTTACACTCGGCTCTCTTCACATTTGACTTAATAGAAAGTGTTCTAGCTCGGGTAGAAGAACTCATTGAAGTGAAAACAAAAGCTGTAATGGATGAGAACAGTTAAGGCAGCTGAAGTGTCTGAATCAACATACTCCTGACAAGATCATTTGGACTATGAAACTTCAGGTGCAAGGGAGGCTATGGCCCTGTAAGGAAGAGCAATTTCGAGTGGCCTCCAGAAGAACTGCAAATGCTGCTCTTCATAAGTCTTGTTGCTGTTCTTTTTTACTTTCTTTTGCTCTTGTTGCATGTGATTTGCAGATATGGTCTGTTTATTCCTCTTCAGAATTTGATGCTTTTTCTTAAGTTTAGAAACTAAAAAAAACAAAACAGGTGTGTTCTTCTCTGTGGCAAGGAGGCGTGGTTAGGCGTTTATTTTTTTTTAATTTTCAGAATTTGTTGGATAATAGTTGCTGCCTGGTATTGTGAATTACAAAGATTTTTAGCAAGTGATTGAAGAACCATTAATTAAAAAGCCCTGTTTAAGCAAAAGGTATTTTTATTAGCACATTTTAATGTTGACAAACAAGCTTCTCTATTTGCAGACAGGACTGTAAGGTACAGATAGCTAACACTATAGAATACACTATCTATAGACAGTAAAAACACTGTGGCAAAGGAAACCAGGTTTAAAGAAAAACAACTCTGAGCCAAATAAGATGCTAGAACTTAGTAACATAGCAGAAAACACTTATGTTTGAAAAACAGTGTAAGGTTGCATACATACAGCTGCTGCTTTTAGAGATACCTCTATTTCTGAATTGTTTTGATTATCCTTATCTTTAACTGTTCAGCTTTCCTTAAGATACAGTAAATTTTTTTGGGAATTATTAATAAATAGATGACCCTTTAAGGTCAGAACCAAGTTAAAAATAAGGATGACTTTCCTATTGTGCAGCTAAACCACTTTTTTTCTCTCCCTCAAAAGCACATTTGGTATCAAGTATGCTATTTTTCATTGTATAGCTATTTAATACGAATTTTCATGCATATGTTGTATGTAGTCTTTTGAAATATAACTATATTTTTAAGAACATTCTATATTTTGTTTAAAATGTAGCCATTTTATTTATTAATAAAAAACCAAATAGTAAGTTAATTATGGTGCGATTGGTACTCCTGAAGCATCTTCCAAACTGGACTTTTTTCTATTATTTGGGCTTTTGTCATTTCTATTTTGCAACGAGTATCATCTGCTTGTGGCTTGGAAGTTGCCTTAGAGAAAAGAAAAATAACATGAGTAGAACACAGTGGCTTTTAGGTGATAGAATATTCAACATTTTATTTTTCCAACAGTAGAAATGCAAAATTATTTAACAATGAAATTTGAATTGTGTGTTCTCAAGTAGGTGTTCAGGAATGCTGTACACAGAGGTGATAGTATCTCAACAGGAGTTAACAGTAAGTGAAGACATCCTAACTTAACAATGGTAAATAGGAGCCAAACAAGCTCTTAGATGTTTAATTTCTTTTCTTAGATTCTATTAAGAGCTATTAAGTTAGCTTTAACAGTAGTTTAAAGACTCAGCTAATGCATCAGAGCACCAGTCCTACCTTAGTGTATTAATGGATTGTGGTCAGTATAACCTAAAAAGTTCCATTAAGGAAGACCAAGTATTTTATAGTTCTTGGCTTTTCCAAGTAATACACTAATATTTTTAAGCGTATGCAACTGGACTTACCTTAGCCATAGTTAGCATTAATTTAACAGTTTCAGCAGGATTATGAACTGGTATTACACGTAAATTGCTGCCCAGGAATCTGCACAACAAAATAAGTAAGGTTACTTTTAGAATATTATTTAATTTGTTATGCCATAAAACTCAAACAGCATTCCCACATGAAGTAAACATCTTTCAGTGTGCAGTTTTACTTACAGGGAAGGCTGCTTTTATTCTGAAAGGCAAGTGCAGCATTCATGCTGTTTGTAAAGCCATCTGTCCCATTTCTGTACCACTTATTTAGGTGGGATTTGGAAGGGCTCATTTCTTTATCAAGGTCTCTTCAGCAATCAATCAGCACTTCTTAAGCATGTGTACATTCAGAGAGAGCTAAACCCTCTTCTGTGAGATATTGCTGAAGGCTCTTGTCAGTGGCAGTAAAATATATTTGGGTTGTTTTGCTGTTTTTATGGCTGTGGAAGAGCACAGCCAAGTATCTAAAAACACTGCTAAAAATACTTCAGAATTTGAACTAAATCTTTGTGATGATGTACTATAAATAAAACAACCTGTATTCCAGACACGATTAAGATAATGGGATAATGCCACTACTTTCATATAAAGACTTGTTCACTCAATACTTTAACCTAAAATTATTTCTCTCTATAAATAGTGTTATTAATATGCATTCATTCTTGAGAAGAGGATCTGAAGATTTAAAATAGTAGCATGAGTTGTTATTCAGTGAGAATTATGGAGGAGAGACATCAAAGCTTAGGCAAGCACGGAGCCTCTCCCTAAGAATTGCACCTTAAGTGTGGTTAACAATGATGTTACCTTTGCTGCTGTTTTCTGTTGTAGAGCTAAAACAGGAGAGGGACTTCACAACAAAGAATGAGGAATTTGAAATAACCAAAATGAATTTAAATAATGCAGATGAAGTGCCCAGCTGCTCAGTTGCATAGTCCCCTGTGACCTCCCCTTGTGCCTGCCACCTGTTCTTCCCTGCAATCTGTCTGATGACTTGGAGTCATTCACATTAAGACCTCCTGCTGGTAAGGTATCTCATCTGAACTTGTCTGCCCTTGCTTCTAATTAGCAAGAATAAATGTTACAGGCACTGTCCTTCTCTAAGCATAGGCACTCGGGTCCCTGGTGAGTTTTGCTAAAATGTGATGTAGAAACAAGGGTTGGATTTGCATTTTGTGATTAGGGAAATCAATTGATGCAATTTTACTCATACTGGAAAGGGCTAAACAAAGCATGAATGCACAAAGTGCAGCACAGAAACAATGACATGTACTTACCTAGATCCATGAAAATCTGTTTCTATAAATAGTTTTGCTTCCAATAACAGCAGGTCTAAATTTAGTGTTCTGTAGACAGAATACTGGTAATTTGAACACGTCTGGCCTTTCCTCCAAGGTATTTAAAAATCACCATACAGATGTACTAAGGGTTTTTGTGGAATGCTCATTTAAGCTGTGATGATAAACACTACTTCTCTCCCACTTCCCCCATGCTATACACAGCTCTACATCAAGTGTTCATGTTGTTAAGAAGAATCCTGTAATTTTCTTGTTAATAATAAAAAATAATCCTTCCCCAACTGCAGCAAAACCATAGATAAGCAAAAAGAAGCAGTAATAGAAGACAACCTGACAATACTAAGGGGCTTTGTTTTTTAACAAATCCAACAGGTGGCTTGTAGTTTCAAAGAACATGGCACAAGTTTCAATCCCTCCAGGAGAAGCTCAGTCAGTGATTTACAAACAGTAGCAGAACTTCAAGCTGCCAGGTAATAAAAAAAGCACATGCATTTAAATGTATGTATGTAATTGTCCTTTGTCAACATCAATTTGATATTGCTTGCAATGAAAAAAAAAAATTAATCAAATTACTGACTTGCCAAATGGAATACAGTTCCAAAATACCACATTTTAGTCATCAGCATGTGCACAAAACCCACTGTTCATAACCACAAAGTAGATTGAGATTTAGCATTGCCATCACCTGAATAACATGGTCTTGCTGAATGGTGGCTGAACTTTTAAAACCTCTCATGAAAATTTATAACATTTTCACAAACGCGTAATAGATTTCTTACATTTCATCTCATACACTCTTTATTCATCAGCATTTGGCAGTATGCCCAGGATTTAATGGAACTGGTGCTAGTTACTTAAGGAGGTAAAGATCAAAGACTTCATTAGAATAGTCACTTCTTTGAGGCCAAGAGTGACAATCAACTGCAGTTAGGGCCACTGTACCTACAAGAAAATAGTTCTGACTACAAACATGGAGCACAGTCTGATCACTGTTGTCAGCTGGTATGTACTAAAATATGCAGGTTTTCAGACTCCATTAGAAGTTAGAGATAAAAGTTTTAAACAAGCCAGTTTTAATATAGTTTTATACTTTTGGTGTAAAATAACATTGATTATTTAATTGTTCTAGCACAGTGTAACAGACACTGTTCCAAGTAAACATTTGAAAAGCTGGTGAAAAATCTGCACTTTACAATACAAAATAAGCCTTTTCTCATGACATAAACTTGCCTGCTCTATTTTGAAAATTACCATGAAAATATGGTTATAGAGCTAAGAAAATTGTCTAATTTTCCAATTAGGAAAAAAAAAAAAGTTATACTACATAGCCCTAAAGTGATTGAAAGGAATCTTATTTGATATGTTTTGAGTAACATCCTCTTTTGTTACCTGTGATATGTCAGATTGATTCACTTGGTATTTTTTATTTGCTATTAATAAACAAATGCTTTAAATTTTTTACAGTCCATCAGTAAAATAAAATTTGTGTATTCCTGAAATAATTCACAAAGGGTAAGGTTGGAAAGAACCATAGTGTGTCAACTCCAATCTCCCTGCTCAAGCAGGGTTATCCCAGAGCCACACTGCACAGGATTGCATCCAGATGGTTCTGGAATAGCTCCAGTGAGGCAGACTCCACACCCTCTGGGCAATCTGCTGCAGTGCTCAGTCACCCTCACAGTGAAGAAGTTCTTCCTCGTGTTCAGGTGAAATTTCCTGTGCATCAGTTTCTGTCCATTGTCTCTTGTCCTAGTTATTCCTAAAATAATATTTCCAAATCCAAGACTGCTATTTCATTTCTTCTTAGCAATATAAACTTCAATTTGATGTTGAAATCATACCTTCTCTGAATGCTGAACATGATACGCCATTCTTCTGGTCCATGAAGAGCAGCTGACAAAACCAAAAAGCTGTTCCGATGGATGTTTATGAACTTCTGAATTCTTTTGGAAAACTCTTCTTCCCCTGTCCTGAGCAAGTCTTGAGTGTCTGCCAGTATAAATGCAATGCCTATTGAGGAAATTGCTGTAAGTGTACAGGTCATGGCAGTAACGGGATGAAGTTCTCACCACAAACTGGAAAGCATAATTCTTGAAGCAACCATTGGTTTGAAACACAATGGAACAGAACATGAATGAATTTCCACATCTCTGACAGGGAGATTTGGCCAGTGATGCCTAGCAGTTTTAAGATAAAATTAAAAATGTCTCAGGTTATTTTTCTACCTCAACATCAAAAAACCACCAGCTATTCCGTCTACTCCAAGTAGACACATCTGAATGCCTTTGAGAGCACATGCTTCAGGAACAAGCAACTGCTATAATGGAATGAATTTGGGGCAAATGCAAAGGCTGACTGAAAAGCTCAGCAAGTCCTCTTTCTAAATGAAAGAAACAGTTGTAAAATCTTAAAAGTTAGCTAAACTGTCTGCCATGAAAAATTAACTTGTATAGCTGTCAATTTAAGTTGTTCTGAAAGGGAAAGTTAAGGCTGAGGGTTTGGAGGATTAACACCTGAGCATACAAAAATCTATGTCAACTTGTGCTAGTCCTTAGAGTTCAGGAAATTTGAAGTATCTCATCTACGTGTCTAGAATATCTTCTGCTCTAAAAAGGAAAAGCAGCTGTTTCATGTTTACAATTTCAGTGACTTCCTAATCAAATCCACTCAAATAATCATTTTCTCGCCTCCTCTGCCACTACTTGCTGTGCAAATTCAACTTGGAAGTTGAAAGCCCAAGGTGCTGGTTCACACTTACATTTACAGCCATTCCCAACATTATCTGTTTCACACTCTGATTTACATACAATCATAGCACAACTCCTTCCACTACTGCACGACATCCCAACAAGGTAGATTTCATTCAATTTAGTGTAGCCCACAACTAAATGGCTGCCCTGACTCTGTAGTTTGGATTTTATGATTTAAAAGCATGAACTTTAAAGTAGTGTACCAGAAAGAGGAAAAATCACAGATCCAGTTTCCACTGATTCTGAATATCGAACTCGGTGTTGTTGCCTCTGCAGAACTGTAGAAATTTCATGATCCTAAATAAATTTTAAAAGGTTATTTTGAAAAGTTTTCAGCCAACAAGTTAGAAATATTCTTAAAGCATCAGCAGGACCACTATAGATAGACCTTTGGCACTGTTGTTCAAAAAGTATTTCTTATTCCACTTAAAAAACGTACTAAAATGTTAAACATGATCAGTTTTGAAGTATTTGATTGGAAGTTACAAACTGAATAACAATTATGTGTGTGTATGTTCAGTTTGTCTTAGGAAACTCTTGCACAGTGCATAAAGAAGGTCAAACATTTTCCAGTCTGTTTTGGTAAGGTGTGCTAAAAGAGGATTTGCAGTAGTGAGGATCATACAGTAGCGTGTTTCTATGACTCTGGTTAATTAGGCTGCATTCTTTTCACAGATGTCAGCATCTCAGCTGGAAAATCCTTCAGAAATTTTGTATGGGACATGATTTTCTTTAAAGCTTTTTGACAGAAAGCAATCCACACAGGAAAAGTAGAACGTTGCACCATGCAGCATAATCATCTACAGAATGGAATGTGTTTGGATGTATTTTTCAGCCTGCAAAAAGCATTTCTGCAGTATGTTCCACAGAAGCTGCAGGAATGCACATATATTAAAGGTTAAATCACTGAGACTTTTTAGCTAATAACATGTTCTTTAACCTACTAATTCAAAACACAGCCAGCCTGCTTACATAGGGAAGTGCCATGATTTAGTGGAAGAGTACAACAGAAAATCGAGATTGCAAGTGAACCTTGAAGGAGACATTAACCAGAAATGTCACGCTTTCAATTGGTCTGGAAAGGGTACACTCAGTGGCAAGTGCTTGTAAGGTTTAGCTACATTTTGCAAAAAAAAATCTCAGCTTCAAAGCTACTGCTGAATTATTGTACAAATATAAATAACATCTATATGAAAATGATAGCTCATAACCAAAACTGATGCAGAAAAGCTGTAGGCCCACAATATGTGGTAACTGGGAGTAACTGTAATTGTATGGTGATACTCTGTGTATTGTGGCTGTCTCAACTATGATATATGCTGTGACAAAAAGCCATCTTGGATTTGTATTCATTACCTTCATTGCTTTGCTTATGAGGACACCTTACTAAGAGCAGTAGTTTTGAGTAGAGCTGGGGGTAAGAGTGAGTTATGCTGGTATAGCTGATGAAATCACTGCCATCCATTTCCTCCCACTGTGTTATGGCACAAACATGCACAGTTTACAGGCTGTAAACTCCAAAATGAGCAGGTAAGTAAGTATAGGCTTTAAAGTGAGGTGATTCAGGAATTACTTCAGCACAGTTCACTCATTTACACAGCAGAGATGGGGTGATAACCTTGTCAGCCAAGCCAGCATAAGACATCCTTGCTTGTGAATCAAAGCTCTCTTGCCTCTAAATTCTCGCCAGCTGGCATGAAATTGGCCTCAGCTGCAGAAGCTAATTACCAGCTCCTTGACATACCCTTTCACTTTACTTGGGAACAGAGTCGAGGCTCCTGATGTTAACAGATAAAATATATATAGTAATATCTGTAAGACTCAGTATTTTAAACTGAATTATGTACTTACAGAGTAATTGTCTACCCCCATGTTGATACTGCATAGGAAAAATTAAAGTATTTAGGGAGAAATTCAGAAAAAATTCAGCAACATTTCTGATGGAATTATTTATAAAGCAAACTGAAAGAGGCATCAGTGCAGTGCAAAAACGATGAGTCAGGAGAATATCCTAAAGCAGTGTAACTCAGAATAGCAGGTGACAAGAATACTAAACAGATATGGAAGTAGCTAGGAAAAAATACAGTTGCACACAAAAATAACCAGTTTTCTGATAGAACCAGCTTCAGCCTAATATCAGGTTTATCCTGAAAAAACGGTATTTGTTGACATAGAATTTCCTCTATTCGGTATATGGAAGTATTTTATTCTTTCAGCCTCCCCAGAGAGTCAGCTGCTGGCCTTGAGAAGGGCTATCCTACCTGCAGAGCTGTGCTCATAATGACCGTCGTTATCCACCTTGTCTGCTCCTGCCCGCAGCTTTCTGCCATCTTTCAGCGGTTTAATAGCTCCGCATTGAGGTGTCACTTCTGAAAAGTTTGGGAAAAGAGACAAGTATTTCCCGCCACTTAACGAGGTGAGCTGTTTGAAGCACAGGGACACATTAAAGAGCTCATTAAAAACCAGCGGAGCGCAGGCAGGAGCGAGAGGAGGCCGGGAGGTTCCCCTCAGCCTTTGTGCCAGCTGCTCCCCACGCCGGCCTCAGCCCTTTCCCGCCCGAACCTGCCCTGGGGCAGCGCTGGAGCCCGGGGGCCGCAAAGCGGGAGCGGGGCCCGGCCTCACCCTCAGGCCTGCGGCTCAGCCCTCAGGAGCAGCCGCGCGGCGCCGGGGCCCGCGGCTCGACGGAAGGTTCGTGGTGGGCGCCGAGTTCTGGTTGTGGGTAAGAACAGGCCGAGTTATTTTCTATAGAAGTTATATAAACATAGAAGTTTCACAGGACAAAAATGCGAAAGCAAGAGACAGCACCACTTTCACTGAAAAAGAAATAGTGTGCTGAAGCTTCTTTTTTAATCATGTAAGAGGAAATAACACTTCCACATGGTCAAGAAGAGCTTTTTCTTTTTATTCACTTTTTAGGGCATTTTAAAATAACAACAAGAAACTAACTTCATTTATGTGTTTTTAAAAATGTAATTACAAAGAAATACAAATGCTGGATTTAGGCTCCTGATGGGTACCTTTTTTCCCTCATAGTCACTTACTGTGCATGAAGTTGGACACCCCCGAACTCAGAATATCACTTGAGAAGCATCAAAGTACAATGATGGGTAAGTGTGGGACAATGAGAAAAACCCCAAATCTTAACAGAAAATGCTTCCTATCAGTATTTTGACTCCAGTTGTTATATATTTACTTATGTAAATTATGTGGCTTAATTACAGTTGGCAAATATTTATACTGGAAACTATTTCTGCTTGTCATGTGCACTTGACAGTAGCTGGTTTTTGAAATAAAAATAGGGCCCGTTCTGAGCAGAATGGACCTGGACCCTACACTGTGTCCTGTGTGAGAGCTGCCCTGGCCTCATGCTTGTCTGGTACAAGTCTGAGCCCCTGGGACTCTGCCCAAGGGACAGTTCTGGTAGAAGTTTGTTCTGCAAGACCATTTGAGTATTTAATGACTTGGCTTTCTCTTTTTTTTGAGCCTGAATGTCAGATCACTCATTAAGTAGAGCTCAGACTCAAAGAAAATAGATTTTTCTGAATTGTGTGTGTTCTTCAGAGCATTCTCCTCCACAACAGTTTCCTTTCCCAAAAGGGACTTCTGAGGAGAGCTATTTTCCTACTTACTGTTATCTCTGCTGTGACAGTTTCTGACATTTGGCTAGTCCTAGCTTTTAATCTCAGAAGCCTTTCTTTCCCACATACCTACATGGTGCATTTCACATGCAGGTGAAGTTGCAGAAGAGAGAAAGAACAGGGCTGGTCTGGCAGCATATCAAATATTTCCTGGAAGCAGAGTACAGAACCCCACTTAGGCAAGAATAGAAACATCTTGGGACTAGAACTCCCCTATGATGAAGATAATGGCATAAGCATTTGAATGAATAACTAATTTATGACAAGGCAAAATCTATCATCAAATTAGTGTTTCTCTGTGCTCTTCTGGCCCATATCCTGTATGTTCTACATCAGCACCATTGTTTGATATTGTGGGACTGTTACATAGGTATCTTCCTCTCTGTGTTTTTATATGAAAACTGATTGTTGATTGTCAGACACGTATCAACTGTCCTGTTCTCTGATGACACAATCATAGAAAAAGCAGTATTTTCCTTTAAAGGACAAAAAGGAGTGAAGGTTCACTAAACAGATGGAAAAGGAAAGTAACCTTTTTTTTGCCATTTACAGAGCACAAATAAAATGTCAGCAGTCCACAAGTTGAATGAAGTACAGTGACTCAGCATTTAACTTACACATAGGATTTATTATTTTCTGTCATACAGAAATCAACTAAGAGCCTTGAGGATGTGGCATGGGGAAGAAGGGTTGTGGGACTATGCAACCATACAGATATTCTTGAAACAGAACACTACGTTGACAAGAAATAATTTCAAAATAGGATTACTCAGGCCCAAGCTCGTTACCTAGGTGTGGAAAGCAAGCAGGTGGGAAACATGCAAGCATTCAGTTTGAGAGCTTAACATCCTCCCCTCCACAGGATTGAGTGGTCAAAATATTCTAGGACCATAAAGCCATGGACTACAGGTAGTGACTCAAACTTTTCTTCATATGCATCCCATTATACATATATTAGATTAATCTTGGTTACTAGAACATGATAATCCAAAAAATAGAGATTGAAGGGTTTTTTTTCTCTACAGATACAGGAGATTTTGTTGTAGGCAGGAAGTTAGACTTAGAGGTGGGTCCCTTGTTCGTGGATATTACCTAATTTTATCAAAGTCACATGATGCTTTTATGCTACCTACACTGAATCTGGCACGTACACAGAGTTTATCCTATCTGTATTTATCTTAAGCACACTGATATAACTCTACTGGCAGGATGTCATGCCACACTCAAAAGAGGGTTTCTAAAAAGTGAAGAACAAAAATTATTTCATTAAGTAAAACTGTAAGAAAATTGCAAGAATTCCTACATAAGGATTGCATAGGTGAGGGTATTGTAGGTTGAATTAAGTTGATGAGATCAGGCTCAAAAATGTTTTATACATTTAAGGTACATGGGCCAAAATTTTTACTCCAGTGACTAGTTTTTCTGACCAGACACATAAATAATGTCATCTTCATAAACATGCATCTGATACCACTCACACTAACTTCAGTGGAAGCTGAGAAAGGAAGCTCATCAGGTACATAGATACAAAGTGTGATGGACTACCTGGGTAATTGGGCTCAGTCCCAAATTCGTGCACGCTGTTCAGGTTCACCAGAATACACACTCTAGTCCAGTTAACAGTCATGAGCTCTAAGTATACAAATCCTGTTTTGACCATCAGTGTCCTTGTTAAATGTATCCAGTTACTGAGTTATAGTCAGCCCCTCCAGATATTGAGGTTTGAGTTACTGAAGACATGTATTCATATTTTACAGTGCAATAGCAAAAGAACTTGGGTTGCATGTAATGCAAAAAGTTAGGTTCTTAGGACTTTGATTTCTCTAACTGGACAGTCTTCTGAGCAATCATTTGAGGAGAACAGGGAGGGAATTTAATGGAATTCTGTTATTAATTATTTCATACTTTAACTGCATCTAGATGGTTCATCAGGATTAGAACCTCATTAAGTTGAGTACTGTATAAAACACAAGCATGCACAGTGCCTGCCCCCAGTGTCAGCTCCATTACCCTCCCTGAAAAGAGAATGTTAAGCTGAAAGCCAATCTGCAGATGTGGCTGTGGATTCACTTCTGCGTTTGCAGAACTGTGGCTTAATGGAGCGTACAGTGCAGATTGCAAAGAGAAGGTCAAATGCAAGAAATAAACAGGTGTGTGTGCACACCTGCTCTGTACAGCTTCTTCTGCTTTTAGTTATCAAATGTAAAAAACCAGATTTGTAAAAAAATTACCAAACTCAGTATTTTTCCCCAGCTGATATCCAGTTCTTAGATAAATCACTTTTCTGTTACAGGTTTAGCTTCTTTAAACACACAGTAGTTGTCAATGGGAAGAAGCTAGGTTTTAAATTAGCTAAAGAAGCCATTTGAGCTGTATTTCTTCCAAAGTTGAACATTAAAGCTTATTTAAAAAAAAAATCACACATAGCTTTTGTTCAAAAGAGAAAGATGAAAATCAGTATGGATTTTCTGCAAGAGATGAAAGCTTCTAATTATATTTTATTTCAGATCTAAAAGCCCATTTCCAGAGAATCATCTGTTGTAATAAAGCTGCAATACTTCTCATTTTATCTTCTGTCCTCAGTTCCTATGTAGTCCTGGCAAGAATGTCATCCATCAGTGTAAAAATGTTAAATCACCCCAGTCATGAAATATTAACAGAATGCATACAATTATGACTCCTAAATTGAAGTCTTTCTAGCTGTAATTTGTCATACCTACAATTGTACAATGTTATTAGTAGAATAAAACTAGAAAACTACAAAATATATATATTGGAAAAATAGCATTTCTAGTACATGCATCATTATAGACAAGTCCTGAACCTCATTCACCTGAGGTCAAAAAGAGGGGTTTTTTTGACATTAGTGAGAGCAAAATAATGAATTCCTAAATATCTTGGTTCTCAGCAACAGATGAACAATATGAGAGCAGTTGTTAATTCCATCATGCAAAGGTTTAGGTTTTCTGGAGCAAAGGAGAATTAGCATGCTACTTATTATTTTCCAGATGGCAATAATATATATTGAAATATGTATAAAATAGTCTCTTACAGTATGTACCTAGAACAGGTATGTGGGTTTTTTTTTAAATCATATTCCCTGAAACAAGCTGATAGACAATGCTAGGGGAACACATCCTAGGGACAGTCTTTGGGAGAAATATAGGAAGTTCTCTAGCCCTAGTTCTTCCAAAATAATAACAAAATTTGCCATCTCAAAAATTGAGTATAATTTGAAATAATAAAAAACCTTAAAAAGTATGGAATAAGATTATTAAACATGTACAGTTCAGTCACATAACATCCAGAACTTTAAAATATTGCAAGCTAACCATATTTCTTGTACTCAATTACTAATATTTTCCAATCACACACAAAGTAGTTTTATTATAATGAGACTAGTTTAATCTCAACTATCTGTTTCCATGAGTATTGTGTTTCTGTCTGCTGACTTTATTGTCATTTTATATGCTATGGCCATTGATGAGGCCCTAAGAACCCCATCTAACTTGGAAGTTACCCCTGCTTTTAGTAGGAGGTTGGACTACAGACCTTTAGAGGTCAGTTCAAGCCTACATTTTCCTGTATTGCTGTGGTTTTTCTGTAATTATTTGATTCTGGAGGAAGCTTTTCTAAGGGAAAAACTTAAGAATTTATGAAGTGTCCTTTCCATTACCCCGATACCACAAAAGCAGATGTCTGGTTTTTTTATGCATTTATCTGATCACTTGTAGCAGTCCAGACTGCCTGCTGATCTCATTTCATGCTTACTTATCTCTTCTGATCTTCACTGTATGTCTCAGCCTCTGCATTTCTTTGGCTACACTACCTAAACATGGTATAATCTCATGCATTGAAAAAGCAACCCAAAATATATTATTAACTCATCTGCTTTTCTAACTGTTGTTTCTCTCCTAGGGGTTAGGCTCAGTTTCCTTCCTGCAGTTCTGTCAGGCTCTACCAAACAGACTGTACTGTCCTGTTGCCTTTGACTCTGTGGGCCAATCTCTCATTTTGACCATAGCCTCTAGAGAACACCTTCATAATCAACCTCAGAACTGGTATTTTATACTCATCTGCCTTGTGGGCTATGTTCAGTGATGCCAGTGATTCAGTTTTCCTTAAATCCTCTCATCCTCATTTGACTCCTGCCTCCATATTTTCATTTCCTTTGCTTCCCTAATTTATTTTTTTAATAGATTATTAGGAAGAACTTCCCCCTCCTGCCTTTCCTGTATGGTTCCAAGTGTCTGGCCTTCCCTTGTCTGTCTGCAGTATGTCTGTTGGTGACTTACTCCACAAATATAATTTTAGCTATTATCTGCAGAGCTGCTTCTCCAGATTAGACTCTAACTTTCCAAGTGGAAAAAAAAAAAAGTAATTATGCCTGCAGATACCACTTTTGGAGGTCTAGTCTTTTTTTAAACTTAATACATTCATACATGTAAAACATCTTTCCTTATTTTTCACCTTCATAACATGTCATTCAAGGTAGGCTAAATCAGGGTCATTATCTGAGACTGATTGCCATGTCCTCTCCTTTAAATTTCACTAATAGTTTACTAAATGTGGTGTTACTCTCTGTGGGATACAGACATCTTTGCCCATTCACAGAACAGTCTCAGGTGTGCTGTCACTTGCACCTGTTAACTGCAGCCTGGTCTTCTCAGGCTTCAACAAATCAATTTCACTGCTCTTACTCCAAATACTACTGCAAGGGCAGTATTCTGACTGTGCCATCGTTTTGGTTTCCTCACTGACACCCCTTCACTGTTTCCTCAGATGTATCTATCTACCTTGTCTTTGCTTTAGAGCTCTTTCAGGACCTCATCATCACTATTCACTTGGAGCCCATGGCACCACCTTTGTTTCTCTGTCAAGTTTTCAAAGAAACCTTGATTCCATCCTCTCCTGTTTTGGAGAAGAGGCAAATACAGTGATAAAATCACTGCCAGGAGGTGTGAGAAGGCTTCCAAAGAACTGGGGTGACTGATACTATTAAACAAATAGTTACCTACATCTGGCTTAAAACTTGAACATTTCCCTGAACGCGGTCAGGGTCGAACAGTTTAGGCAGCACGTAAGGCTGGTCAGGATTTTACGTTCTCCCAGCTCCATTGTTATCCAGCCTTCAAATCTCACCCTAAAGTTTTCCCTTCTTGTAATGCATACAGGAGAAAAAATGACTATTTAAACTGGTGATGTGCTGAAACCATTGCTAATCAGCTAGACAAATATTGACACTCTCATTTTACTTTTCCATTCATGTGCATTTTTTTGTGTGTTTTGTCTTATCTTGGATTCTGACCACTCTGTGGGCAGTCTTTGTTTTTGCTCTTTGTTTGTACAATGTCTAGCCAGTGGGATGCTGGTCTGATTAAGCCTCGCAGGCGCTCTAGTAACGCGAATTAAAAACAATACCACTTTCTATTCCTGCTACTTCTGCAGACACTGTTTGGCTGTGGGAAGCTGAATTCTATGGCTGCCTCTGTACCAAGTGAACAATACCATATCCTAATCAGTGCTCTGCTGCAAAACTGTTAAAGGAATTGCAACGACAGCACTGAGGACTTGAAGAGAGAAGCTAATTTAATTTTGATACAACTGAAAAAGTAAATGCAAAGACAAAAACCACCATTAAAAAACCCTATATGTGACTATATTTCATACAATACACTTTAAATTTTGTGTCAATTTTCGGTGTCACTTTATCAATTCAGTAAGAAGTTAAAAATATGGGCAAAGCAAAAAATAGACAAAAGGATCCCTTCTTTCACTTTCTGTCACTTCTCCTTTCCATCACTTCATCTTGTTTAACATGTGAATGCCCATTGTCAGAATATCATCAGGATTTTAAAGCTGATTAAACTTTTTGGTAGACAACTTCTACTTTCACAGACACTAAAAAACACTATTCCTTGGCCTGCTGTAAGAGCTTCCCTTGAGCTTCATCTTTTCCTATGGCCAGTACTACAGTTCTCTATTTTACCCAAAAGATTATCTCCTACTGGTGTACCTTGTAAACACTGAAGGTGAAAAATAGGTTTTCTTGATGTTTTGCACTTCTAAAGGTGGTTCTAACTCCTTCAATATGAAGACTTTGTTAAATACAGAATATTACATTTATAATATTATGAATTACAGTATCTCAGAGTATTTATCCTACTGTTAAAAGAGCAGATGAAAGATTTTTATGATGAGACTGAACATCTTCCTTCCACGTGTTTAGAGTCTTCCACTGACAGAATGGAAGGTTTTCCTTTTTTTCCCTTACCTTGATATTAAAGAACAAGATAAATTTCTTCCTCCATTCATTTTGAGAATAAAACATTACTTTTACTTATGTATCAGTAATTCAACAAAATTCCTTGCTAGATAAATGATTTGCCTCAAAGATCTTTATTCTGTCAAATCCAAAGTCATAACCTCTTTAATCATACACTAAGGCAAGTTCATATTTCCACAGAACTGAGTTTCTGCCTGTGAACAAAAAGAAATGAAGTTTGTCAAGTTAAGGTGCACTGCTGGAACTGTGCAAAAGCTTGCAGAACTGACCATGTTATTAGTGGTTACAGTCAGCTTAGTTGTGTACTCCTATAGTTCCAACTAAAATAGAATGTTACTTAGCCTTTTACTCCTGTATGGCACTCACTTCTGAAGGCACTTCTGTTAATGACTGAGAGGAGGTAGACTACTTCTTTTTTAGATTTTAAGCTGTGTGAAAGACAAGCACTACTGTTTCCATAATGCAGACATCTGAGGGGGGTCCAGCCTTTGCAGGGAAAAAAAACCCTGTATTTTTCAGGAGTTCTGACTGACTGGGTAAGAATTACAAGGAGTTTCTCACTCCTTCCTTCCCTGTCAATCAGAAAAGACAATAATCAGTCCTATCCACACCCAAAGAGCCAAAAGCAGCAAAATGATCTGTATATCCTATTTCACTCTGAGTCAAAAGAAAGGTATCGTGACATTTAGTCTCAATTTATGAAAGCTACACTAGAGATAATAATGAAGATGCAATAATCCTATTACCACTCCCAAAAATGTGGCATCTATGAAAACACACAAACCAAATTCCTGAGAATCTTGCTATACTTCAGCATGGGAACATGCAAGTGTAATTAATTAATGCCTGAAGGTAATTCTAGTTAACATCAGACTTCAGATTAACACTGACCACAACTTCAGATTCAGATGTACTTTTGGAGATATCAGACATGCTGTTTCTTAGAGCAGGAGCAACATTCTACCAACTCCTTTGAATTCATGCACTATGCCATTGGAAATATTTACTTAAATATGTGCATTTTCGTGAAAGAAACAGTGGTCTTTGTACAGCACAGACCCTTTGAAGTCTTATATTTGAAGAAAAGGCAATTTAAAAAATTTATTGAAAACTTCTAAACAAAACAAACCAAAATACAAAAATCAAATCTGGAAGAAACAGATTAAGCAAGCTGCTCATATTAACAAGGCCCAAGGCAGAGTCAGATTGAAACATTTGCTTTGAATATAAGTATGTTTTTCTGTCATTTAAAGTAGTGTTGGCACACATCACCTTTTGACACAACCATTCTAAATCTTTATTATTGTAAAATGAAGTCACCATGGGGGGAGAGGGGGAAAGGAGAGGAATAGGTCTACTATAGTGCATTCATCTTTAAATTTTTGATCAATGAGAACATTAAATGTCAAAAAAAGAAGATAAAAGAGAGGGCAGAAACCCAGACTTTTCTTTCATGTTATCTAGTTTTTCTAACAATTCTAGAAAATACATGCTCAAGTTCATTTTTAGAAAAGACATACATTTAGGTCTTGAAAAATTACTGTACTTGTGATTAAATCTAGATGATAAGTTAACATATTTACCTCATTTTATCAGAAAGATTGCCTCATATCAAGAATTGCTCGTTCTTGACTGATGCAGTATTTCATTATGGTATGGAAACAACTCAGCAAAAATAGATTTGGGGCATGGGTTGGAGTTCAGTTGCAAACAGCTGAAACCTTAATGATGGGTTTCCAGTTCAAGAATTGTCCATTCCCCTTGAGGGGAAGAACAGTCTTCAGATGAAAAGCTTGCCACTGTAATGCTTGCTGAGGAGTCGTCAAGTGGAGACATGAGCTCAGTCCACCTACTGAATGTGTCAACTTGTGAGGTACCCTGAGGATTCGAACCATCTCGTGCCAGAAACAGTGTCTGATTGATAAGACATTGTGCTAAGTTAAGGTCTTCAGGAACAGAGTTTTTGAAATCTATATTTGAGTCCTGCTCAGATAGCAATTGCCTGAGTAGAGTCCAGTCCTGTTCTGCAAACTGTTGATCTTCAAAATCCATGTCTAGAACTGCTGTTTCTGAATCCATCCTCTGCTCAATTGCTTCTCCAACATCCATCTCATATATTGGAGAAAGGGTTTTTGAAGGCCGATGTTCATACATGCAGGTTTGTGCCATTGTGTCATAATCATCTATGTCTCCTGAAATAATTCACAATACTGTACAATGTAAAAATTGTAGATGATCCTCCCCTCAGGGCTGTGTAGAGCAAAATTTAATTCATTCAGGAAGGACAATCCAATCAGGTTAAAAAAGGGGGGGATGGAGGATTATACAAAAATGACAAAATTTGAGGCATTTATTTCCTATATAAAAAACAAAGTATGATTTATAAATTAAGTTAAAGCAGCAATCACCACTGGTAATTAACAATAACCTCCATAATTAAGTTTCTGATACAGAAAATGACAATGTAAATATACACTTAATGCACATGAAATTTCTCATTCACTACATAAATTAAATTTAGACCAGGAGGTGCATAGAGGGAATTAAAAGAGAATGATTACTGAATGGTGACTTAAGCTATGTCAGCTTAGAAGAGAATTAAAACCAAAATTGTTTATCCACAGGCTTATTTCTACATTGCACATGCAAGGGCAGCTGCAGGCAAGGGCAAGCAAACTTAAAAAAATAGTACAACTTTTAATGTCTTCTTGTTCTGTGGTCTGGCTGAACATAGATCATCATCAGTGTTTCATTACTCTCGAATACACAATAGTTGTAATCAACACTATTGTATATTTTTGATGGGATAAACAGACTGAATTATTGATATAAAGAAGACAAAACACAAAACTAGACAAGTATTCATCTAGCTACATGAAACAAGTTAGACCTTTTTTGTATATAAGCATCAGTTCTAAGTATAATCTCTCTTTAGGAAATAACCTTTTACTGGTAAAATTTAGAATTTTAGACATCTCATAAGCTCTAAAGCAGAGTTCAAACCTGCTCCCACTGGCATATATGGCAAATATTCAGTTATATTCAGTGGGAGAATGATCCAAATTTGTATATAGTATATAAATAAATAAATTACAACAATAATGCATATAGCTGTTCAGGTAAACAGTTCAGTGCGCTTAATTAAGGTTATTACTTTAGTTATTGCACATCCCATTCATACTCTATATTGTCAAGCAGACAAAACAAATACTAGGATTCCATCAAAAGTTGATGCTGTCAATGTTAGATTGGATCAAAAATAACTGAAGTACAGACAACTGCATCCAATCTTTCTTTTAGCATTACAGGAAATCTCTTTTCTTGTAGTCAAGTTTCTCATTGAACAGCAGGTTTTGAAATATTGACGGATATTTCAAACAGACAAGCATTCGCTACCCAAGTGAAATACTTAAAAATATTTAAATATGGTTTCAGCCAAAATTACTTCAGGATTCAATCCCAGACAAATTGCCAAAGCTTTCCCTATTAATTTGGTTTTGAATGACTGAATGTTTCTATTTCTGTACATTACCTGGAAGTAAATCAGTATTAGCGCATTCAGTAGTTGCTGGTTGACTCTCTCTCACTTGACTTTCCTGAGTCAGCATCTGATTCTTACTGGCTTCTACAGGTTTTGCAGAGCTGCTCTTTTGCACATCAGAGTTAGTTTCTCTCTGCTGAAGATCCAGATGACATGGTCTTTCTTGAGATTTTGCATCATTGTCTAAGTACTTATTGCACTGGTGAAATTCACTAATCACCTCATTCTTCATATTTACTTGCTGGTTTTCTCCTGGATGTGGACTGCCTGCTGAATATACTTTCTCTGAGCAGTTCTGTTCAGTCATTGAAGCACCTTGATTCTCCTTTCCTGGGATTTCAGTACCGTGAAGATGCAGGACAGAACTTCCACTTTTATCCAGTCTATTGTCTCTATCCTTTTGCTGTTTGCCATCCAGGAATGCCTCTTCAGTTTCCAATGAGTATCTTGAATAAAATGTCGTTCCATGGTGCTCTTGAGAAACACTGTCAAATACTTCTGGAGTAAGAGAATCTATTGAGTGCTGACGTGAAGTGTGAGTTTCCACTTTATCGTCAGCTCCCAATTCTTCACATTCATCTACTGAAAGTAAAACAGATCGTTTGAAATTTTTAGTTTTAGAAAACTCCTGACTTGCAGTATCATTTTCTGCTGCATCCTCAAAAGCTAAATTATCAATTCCTTGGAACTGTTGAGTAGGAACATTTGATGGGGGAAAGTTTTCTGCAACGTTCTCTGCTTCAGATCTGTCATCTTCTGTTTCGTCGGCAGAAGAAGAAACTTGGTCTGCTTCCTGAGTAAACTGTGTATTACCAAAAGTAGAACTTTTGCTTTCTCTAGTCGTGGTCCGTGAACTGTCTTGATGGGACCAAATTTTTCTTGGTATTTCATCATCACTCGTTGAATTAACACGAAAAAGATCAGAACCCTCTTTTTTCATTTTCACTTCTATTCTTAGGCTGCTATCATAAATTTTTAATTCTTCAGGTGTACTTGTGTCACTGCTGCTTCTTCCAAGAAAATCATGACATAACATAGTACTGCATTTGGAAATCCCTCTTTCATTGGATCCCTCATCGTCCTGAGAGCCTCCGGCATCATAATCTTCTGATCTTGGTTTTATATCATCAGAGGATGTGGTTGCACTGCCAGTATCGGATTCAGGGCTCTCTTTTGGATCTACAGCACCAGTACTCCAATGGTCCACAAAGCGAATTTCTGCATTTTCATGGTTTTCTGGCATTTCCATGGGCTCTATAAGCTCTGTGTAATTAGGTGAATATTTTTCTGTTATTTGTTCTGTGGAACATTCTGAAACATCGTCTAAATCTGTTGTAACTGATTTATATTCAGTCAAGGCTGATGTATCACACAGTTCATCAACTGTAAGAAATCCTTCCACATGGATTTGAGAAGTTGATGTCTCAGAGTTTATTTTGTCACTCTCTTCATTACAGACTTTTGCCTCTTTTGAATCTTTCACCAGTTCTCCTAAAACAATGGCCTTTTGATTGGTTTCCTTGGAAAAGTCTGAATATCCATCATTGGAAGACTGTGCATGACAGTGAAATTCAGCTGTATTATCATCTTTCTCTGGATCCTCAGTCTTTCTAATTTCAGTCTGATCTCCACAGATTTGTCTTGTTTCCATGTCGTTTTGTATTGAAACATTCAGTTTATTAATAGTTTCTTCTGCAATTTGAGGAGAAGATTTGGATTGCATTTCATATTGCACAGTTGCAGAAGAATCTGGTAATTTTTGTTTATTGGATTGACAGGACTCCAGCAATTTATTGTCACTGCTACTCTCTGTGGCAGGTTTTAAAGATTCATTTGCAGAATAGCGTTCATTATTGTCATGAAGCTGACCTGCCACAGCATCAGCTGTGTTTTTCTCAAGTTTCTGTCCTGAACCTCTGTGCTCAGAGGTGTGCATATTCTTCTGGACAACAGGAGAATCACTCCTTGAGTGCTTTTGGGCAGAGGACTGAGATTTTAATACAGCTGTTTTCTGTTTTGGGTCTTTATTATTCACAATCTCAGCATTCTTTGATGGAGCCACAGTCTTGGGTGTTATTTTTGAAGTGGCTTTTGTTACAGGTGTTGGTGATTGTTTAATACTCTTCTTCTTAGCTGAAGGATGTTTTTCTGGGAGTGTTGTCTGAACCAGGTGTTGTAACACATTTTTTTCTTCATTATGTTTTGGAGACATTCCTGATTTCAGTGAATTTGGTGATTCCCCCTGAGGTCCTAATAAACAGTAAAAAAGACTATAAAGGTTGTATGTGCCAGTCACAGTATATTCACCAATTTCATGTTAATGCTTGTTTATGTTAAGAAACAAGTTACTCAACTTTTAATGCAACTAAGGGGTTTAAGGCTTGTTAAAGAATTAAGATTTGAAATAATAAGTAGTAGACAAAAATACTGTCTCAGCACCTTTAAGGCAATTCATAGAATGTACATACAGGAATCACTTCAGCCTGTAACTGAAGCAGTCATTCCTAAAGTAGAAAGCAGCAGCTCTCTAATAATGCATACAAACACTACACAGCAGCTTAGCACAGGAAGTAATGAGTACTGTATTCAATTTACATTGTAGAGGAAATGAACAGAGGCATAAAATAATTACATCAGTTATAATGTGATTAGAACACCAGAGTTAATGTCCCTGCTCAGTCAGAAAATACTGCAAGATCTTTAATGACCGCAAATTGACAGAACCTGTGTCTTCTATATCACAGTGCATTTAAGATAATGAAACTTGAATGTTAGAGCTCCATCCTTAACACCTTATATCCTTCTTAAGCAATGTTTCCTCTCTGTGTTCTAGGGTGTCATTTCCTACCCCTTCTGTCAGTAGCTGTTGAAACTGAGTATTTGTTTGGGGGCCAGTATCAGTACACCACTGAGAGGGGGAAATAGGAAAACACCTAATTTGGGAGGCATAAAGCAGTCTGCAGTCCAGATCTTTGGGGCTTATTACAAATGCTCAACGTACAGAATTTCTGTTGAGCTCAGTCAGGGTTCCAAATGCAGAAGTGCAGGGCATCAGCAAATGGAAGACTCTGCAATGCAGATTAAACAAGCGGAAGAAAACACCGAGTGGCAGTGAAGACCGTCTTTTAAGTATTTTGAAGTTGACGCGTTAATTTGCATTTTACAGTTTAGGATTGTCACCAAAAGTGAAATATGGAAAAAACCCAGAATTCTCCAGAAGATTTTTCCAAATACTTGTGCTAAAAACCAAACAAACCTCAAAGCTTTGCATAATAGTGGCAGATCATTTGACTGCTGTATGAAACTTTACCTTGGTTCTTGGGAGAATTGGTAGGTGTGTTTTGAGTCTTTTGCTGCGCTGCATTCGCTTTTTTCTTTAGAACAGCTTGTACATTTTGCTCATTACACCCCTTTCCTGTTGGTTTTTTTGTTAGACTGCAAAGAAATCATTACATTCATTATTTCCAGGCTTAGATCTAGCAATGTTTAATTATATTTAAACAAGAAATACATGTGTTTTAATGTGCACACATATATAAACATTGAAAATGCAACCTAAAAAGTAAACTTTCTGAAAATAAAAAATATATATCTATATTTTTAATTTATATACAAACATGTATATATAATGACCCGTTTCACAATTCCACTTCAGCTGTCTCCTGTCCAGTTTAATCTAAACTATTCCAGCAATGGTATATTTACAACACCTTGTGTAGTCATTAACTGTTCCAGTATGCAAAATCCTGAATGACCTATAACATTTTAAAAATTATTAGCATGCAACAGTCCAACACAAAAGCCAAATCAGTTCTATCTTTACAGCAATGTTGCCAATAGCTAACTCATACTGTTTTGCAAATAACATCCTCCAGACAGACATGCTCAGAGTAAAAAGAACATCTAATGGTAAGCTTAACAGTTCACCTGAAACCTTTCTTCCCAAACTCACACACTCATGCACACATCTATGAAGCAGCATATTGCTATGTAACATACCTGCTTGTTGTGGCATTAGCCTCAAGCTCAGTCTTTTTTTTTTTGGTGGTGACTCCATTTGATACCTTCACAGATACCTTTGTTTTCACTACTGTAGAGTAAATTCAAAGTTAATTACAGAGGGAAATTCACTGCATGTAAGTACCAAAAAAAATCTAACATGTGAAGATCAGTTATTGAGAAGACCATACATGCTAAAGTTGTAAAATGTGTACTGTTTTAGATAGCTATTAACTGACCATAAAGTCAGTTTATATTAATTTACAGGGAAAGAATGTGACTCTTATCAGTTTATAGTAGATTGCCTTAAAGCTTCCCTGGCTGGTTTTCAGTGTATGACCAGCCTGAGACCAGTCAGAAGAGGACTTTAAAGAAAGAATTATAAAAAATTACCAGTCTGTTTTTTCCCTTCCTCTATGGATTTATCCTCTTTGGGCTCCTCTGTCTGTTCACCCGCAGTCTGCACATCCATGTTTGAATTTGCTGACTTGCTGGAAGCTGCTGCCACAGTCACCAAGGAGGGAGATTCCTTCCCTGTGGTTTTTTTCAATGGCTTTGTTTTGTTCTGCATGCTTGAGGTTACTGTCAGCACTTTAGGTCTGGCACCTGCAACTTTTCCTTCATGGTTTCTCAGACCTTTGCTGCTTCCTGAATTTTTTTGTCCACTTGCAGACGATGCCTTTTCTATATCTTGCTTGGTAAGCATGCTTTCAGCCTTCACATTTCCATTATTTTCTATTTTTGTCTTTACAACAACTCTAGCCTTTGGCAAAGCAGCTTTTTCCCCAGGTTTGGAATCCTTAGTAATCTTGGAAACTAATTTTTTGCCATCTTTCCCCTTTACATCCTCATGCTTTGAAGTCTTGTTAACAGTGTTTCTATTGGTGGATGCGTGTCCAGATGCTCCTAATCCATCAGATTTCATTTTATCCTGATTAGTGGAAGAATCTCCCCAGCAATCTTTCTTGCCGTGTTCTGCCCAGGAAGTATTCCTTGTACCAACAGATGCAGTAGCAGTTTTATTTAGCTAGGAAAAAAAATGGCATCAGAAAAAAACACAAACAAAACATGCATGTAATACCAAACTATCTATAACCTGTAATTTCTGAAACACATCTACTTTTAAAGTAGTACATGAATCTAAAGCAACAAGATTAAACATGGAAGTAAATTTTTATGTATCTATGTATATACATACACACACACACATTTTGGCTCAGTTTGCTGGTTTCAAGAATATTAAAGTACTGCTCTGTGTAGAGGAAACAGAAATATCTAGTTTCACTTTTACTTTGGACAAGTTACTCTGTAATATTTACTTATTTATATTATTAGTGTCTTCTTAAGTAAGAAATTCTTTTTGAGTTATATGTGCATATCTTCCAAAAAGGAATAAAGACTATGCATTACTACAAACATAAAGCCAAAAATTATTTTACAACATGTGATGATTTGAACCATTGCCAACAGCAATGGTATCCACATAGAAATGCCAATACTGATTCTCTCAGGTAAAGAGGAACTCAGACATGGAGAGTTAAGTGCTTGGAAGGGAATCTTTGTGATACCAGTGTCATTGCAATGTGTGCAAGACTGTCAAATCATATGAAACCCATACTGGTTTTTTAGCAATTAATAATGTAGTTTCGAGTGTGAGTTTCAATAGAAGAGTTGTTGAGGGCACTAATTAATATTTTTCAGAGCAGGGAGTGTAACAGGCTCAGTGTTTTGGTGGCTTGTAATAATAGCAGAGATTCATTAGCTCAGTAGCAAACCATTTGCTCTGGGAAACAGATGAGTTTCATTATGTAGCATGAGAGGAATGTGAGGTTCTGAACACAAATTCCTGCCTTTTATTTGAGCTTATCTGTTTGAAAACGTCACAGAACACAGTCTAAGATGTTTCCAGTAGTCATTACTGATTCTGCAGAAACAGTTTACAAGAAAATACAGATTTTTCAAAAACAAGTTCCATTCAGCAATATGGGAAATTAAGTATCAATTTAAACAAACAATGAAAATAGTTTTGTTTGCAATTATCTGAATGTTTAAACGTTTGGGTATAAATGTTTACCTGAGAACTGGTGAATACAGGTTTTTTGCCAAGTCTTCGGTCATCACCCTTGTCAAATGCAGCTGCAAAAGGAACAAGCAGTTTCTTCACTGTTTGGCAGGAAAGAGGGGGGACAGAAATCAAGCCAGCCTACTCAGTTACATTATGTGAAATCAGAAAGCACTTCTTTGGGTCCTGATTTACTCTCAAAAGCCTAATTTTGGTGACATGGCAAATGTTAAGTGGAAGTACATGGTTTTATTTGGAACAAAAAAATGTGGGATCTGCAATGACATCACATGGCCATAAGCAAGTTACTGAACTCTTCTGTTTCCCCATGTCCATACCAAGACTTTTGTTTATCCAAGCTCAATTCATTTATAGCTAGCAGTGCACTAAGACCTTTAAAAGTGTACAAAATTTACAAAAAGATACCTTCAAATTTAGAGTACTAACAGCTTTTAGGTGTATTGTTAATGAAAAGGTATTTATTTATGCTATATAAAGAAAAGATTAATTACATTAAGGTAAATGATATTAGTTTTCAAAATTGGCAAAGCCAAAATACCTAAATGTACACACTAAGGTCACAGTGCCTCTTTAGATAGCATGCAGCGTAATGTCATGAGAATTATCCCTGTGATTGTCATGTGGAGTTTTTAGGCAGTGAATGCCTTTTTTTTTTTCATCTGATGTACTCTGAGAGGAAAGCAGTTTTCAACAAAGCTTTTTGAATCAATTGCACTTGTAGAACACAAAAGGGATATTTATAGACACTGTACAGACCCAGAATCGATAGGTTTCATTTATGTCTGTATTCATATTTCAACTGGAAAAAAGGTTTTGCAAAAAATATATTAAAAAAATTTCAGCATTCAGTGCCTCATGTTCTGAGATACTATACATGGAAACATTGTTTGTATGTGTAATACAAAAATTCTGCTGAATTCCTGCTAAAGATTCTAAAAATAATTTTTATATAAGTCTCTAAAAACCACACAAAAGGTATGCTGAAAATGGCACCCCAGAGATCTAATCCTTTTTCTAGCAATGACTCTGCATATTAATACATACCAATATATTAAGACAAAATCCTTATAAACTTGTGCCTAAGAAAACACAAGACAGGCTGCAAAATGAAAAAACCACAATATCATCTCTCTTATTTTGGCATTTTTCCTCCTCTGTTATAGCCTTCTAAATCTATATAGGCTAAATTTCTAGGAGAAAAGCTACCACCAGAAATCTTTAAGATTAAAGTTGATCTAAGTTATCGTACACGTATTTAACCTGACGATTAAAATTTGTCTAGCAATATTGTACAATTGCTTTGCCTGTAATTAAAACCAGATAATTCATGCAAACATTTCAGCCTTTTCATATATAAAATGCATGCAACTTCAGTCAGAATTTACTCTAAAAGAAAACAAAATCATTTTTGGCAATATGGAGTTTGGAAAATAAAGACACACCTTGATTTTAAATATTTTTTTCTATTGAAAGCACTAGTGTAAAGTAGCCAAAACATCGTTCACAATAGGGACATGAGCATCTTAAAAGTAAACCACCCCAAATCAGAACAACCCACCCTTTTTATTAAACTCCTCTGCTTCTGAAGGATTTTATAATCAAGAAGAAATCCTGTCCCTCTTCTACAGAGTAGTATGAGATATTACTTGACTACATTCCTAAATCATGCTTAGAAAGACTGTCACTGCATCTTTCAGCATGTAATTGTAGAATAAAATTTGCATCTATCTCTAGGTATATAATTATGAAATTGCTACTAATATCTTTAAGGATATAAAAATGTTCACATCTCCTTTGAATCAAAAGTGATTTGAATTCAGAGCAGTATTTAACATTCTTTTCTTTTACAACACTGTACTGTCAAAGCTAATATTAAACCAGAACCTGAACTCCATCATCAATTCCACATCCTCAGAATATTTCTGTACTTCAAAACAAAGGAGCATTCAGAACAAGAACTCCTTTTTCTGCAAGTGCTGTCTGTGAAAATGTTGAGAGCACACCATGCAGCTCCTTGGGGGCTCTCTGCAGCAGCACACACAAGACCACAATGCCAGCAGCCCAGCAGCCCAGCAGCCCGGCTCTCTGCATTTGCTCCCGTGCACAGGCAGGACGAGCGTTATGCAAGAGACCAGCAATGTTTATTCATCACGGAGAAAGCGATAAAGGACAGAAACGGACTTCAGGGAATGGATAATCTGCTTTGTGCACGTTTAATTCATCCCCAGCTCTTATCTCTTTAAAAATGAGGCAGATCAGGTTTTTAATCCTACTGCAGTGTTTTCAGTAATTTAGAGTAGCTGTAAATAAGAACAGAATCCATCTACATGATGGTGGAGGGGTTCTATGATATATACTCCTAAAAAGAAAAGCAGGGAAGACTCCTCACAGAAAATGACTGACTGATTCCCATGTTTGAAACTACCTAAGCATGCCATCGTGCTTCTGTTCTAAAACACCACTTCAAAACACAAAGCAGCACAAATTTTGCTTTAATCTGTATCAGGCTCCACAATTCCATCTGCATTGTATCCACTGAACAGAATGCTAAAAAATTCTAATGCCGTTTGATGCCAGACATACCTGCTTGTATTTTCTGTTGATGGTCTGGCCTCATCAGCTTCCAGCCTTCTGTGTGACGAACAGCATAAAAAGACTGAACCAGGAAGACCCAGAGCTTATCACGCAGCGCCTGGATCTTGCACGTAAAACCCTGTGTTCAAGTAACAAATCAGCAGCTGGCGAGGGGCATATTGTCATAGCAACCAGTCATTATTCCTTTCAGAATCTACTTACTCCCTAAGCTAGATCAATGATGTCATCACTTACATTTTATAACGGTCTGGTAGATGGAGATGCTGTTTTTGAAGGATTATTGCCCACCAGAGTGATTTTTTCTATAGTTTAAAACCTACAAATTACAGCACTAGTAAACACTGCATTGCTCTCATTGCTCTTTTTTCCCTTTTCTTTCTTTTTTTTTAAATGAACCCCATAATAGCTCTTCACTGTCAGCTGTGTCACAACAAGGTCAAATACTCCAGGGAAAAATAATGTATTTGATTAAATTTTTATTGCTTAGACCAAGTAAATCTATAATAGCACCAGATTGCAGTAATTAATGTTTCATTTATTTTTTAGTCTTTGTCATACTATTTATGAATTGTTCCCAGAATCAGTCAACAACAGCTTGAATGTCATTATTTAGATTGTGTGAATATACACGGTATGTTACACACATGGAGCCTGACACCTCCACCCAATCCAAAAAACACACACTGGATCAAGTGTCAGCCCTTGCTTTAGAGGACAGTTTAAAACCAAAGCATATGTACCTGTGACCTTCACAAAAAGGGGGGGAAATATTTAGGGAGGAAGAGAATAAGCTCTCTTCCCCTGTAAGTTTTAGGTAATGCAACCTTTTGCTAAGTTTTTCTCTTTTCACAAATTTAAAGTGATAGTAAAGATCAATAGGGCAGTGTTGCCCATAGGACTTACATTTTCAGAAATACACAGGAATTTTTGTATTGCCAGGATGGGGTTTCTCTATAAACAAAATTAAACTTAAACAAATGCCTACGTTTTCTGTACTTCCAAAAGTACAGAAACTGTATCAACCCTTGGATTTATGCAGATGCTTTTCTGTTTGACCCCAGTTGCATGACTGAGCCATCTGAGCTCACACCATATCATCTGATTTGAACCATGACATGAGACTGTACCAGAATAGTTTTTCCACAAGCACTGCACATTTAAGAACCTACCATCTCCTTCACATTTGCAAAGTCCAACAACATATCCACTGCTACAAGAAGAAAGCAGCTATTTTCATTATTAATGCCTTTTTCAATTGCACTGAAAATTTGTTCTAGGAGGTCAGGTTTGCTGCTCATTGCCTGTGCCTGAGGAAACAACAAAAGGCAGTCGTTTAAAACAAAAGCGTGTACTTTGTATGCAAAAGCATTACCGAGCAGAGAGGATCTGCTATCAAGCTGTGCAGGAGGTATTCCAAAGCTGAGCATCTTCTTTTGTATCCATTCCACAACCCCACCCCTCTCCAGGCCTCTAGCAAATTGTCCTGAGGCCTCGCTCGTTAACAGAAATTTTAGGAACAAGCACACTGTGATGAATTTACAGCCCTATGCAACTCTGGATCCAAAGGCAAATTGTTTTAACATTTCCCTCTTTGTTCTCTTCACTTCTGTGTACATATTAAAAAACATATTTCACAGGAGAAATGAACTGGCTGGGTGACTAGGGAAGTTCTCACCAGAAGCTGCAGCACTGCCACATTCCTGCAAGTCAGGTCAGAAATCAGCAGAAGTTTGAGTGCACTGCCCATACTCATAATCTTGTAAATCCGGGCTGTTTTTCCAGGGGTCTGAAAGCTTTTATGAAGCAACACAGAAACTGTCCCACTAAACTAATTGGAAATTTGCTTAACTGAAGCACATAACCTGAATGCAGTATTAGCACTGTGTATCAAAGCATTTACATGCTTTAAAACAAACCTGAAAAAACCCACCCCCCAAAACTCTTTAGTTTTGTTGGTTTTTTCTTTTTCTTTTTTTCCATAGAATTGTACTTCAAAGCAAAAGCTACGGCAGTTTTGGTAATTTAGCAGCCTGATCTTTCCAAAATGCCATATAATTCAATTCATTTAGAAGCATACAAGAACTTGAGGGCACTTTTACCTGCAACAAAACAGAGAAGCCTTCACTTTGCACTACGTGTAGGAAGTTTGCAACAATAAAGGTTACACATTCCTCGTGTAGCCGCGATGCCAAGGCCACAGCTGTCTCCGTCCATTTCACTCGGGGCAGGCTATTGATCAGCCGGTCACTCTCCATCAGACGGGAAGCAGCATTCTTGTGGTTCTTGAAACAGAAACAGAAATTAGCCTGTTGCCAAGCAATTACCTAAAGAATTGCTGATTGTGAAATAGCATCTGTTCAGTTAGTGAGCTTTTACACAGGGATCCAATCATGTCATTATTTTATTTAAATAAATTTTGGGGTTTATAATTCTTAATATTATAAGTGTCTTTGAAACTAAAGCAAAAAAAAGAAATCTCTATTGGTTCAGTTTTGCCTCAAGTTAGGTAGTAAAGTTTTAAGTTTTCAGTAGTTTTTATTATATTTTTTCGACTGCATTATTAGATACTGCAGTCCCGAAGAAAATAAGACAAATGTTAGCTGGAGAAGCTGAATAGAGAAAAAGATCATAGGTCACTGAAAGATGTAATAAATTCTTGAATAAAACTGCTAAGTTAAGGTTTTATAGGTGAGTGTGGAAGGCCTAGCATTTGGGGTACAGAAAAATATTTTCAATAATTATGAATCCTTTTGCTTTATTTAAAGAAGTCAGACAACAAATATTTGTCTTCCCAGATGGAGTTTTAACTGAACTTGCCCTCTTTGTTGTCTAAAGTTTCTCAGAGAACAGTAACTGTTATGTTTCTAGCTACATTTCAAACATGCAAACAGATTTGCTGATATTTATTATCCTGGTCTGTGTCTTTGGTTCTTTCATGCCTTGCATCAGCACAGTACCTGAGGGCTGGCTACCATGTTACTTGAAAAGAACTTGGAATTTATGGCTATCCACATTAGAATGGCCTGAAAGCTCCATTCAATGTGACCTAGCAGGACACTGATAAATTATGCAGTAACACTTGAAAAAGCAACAATTCCGATAAATATTTAACACAAAAACCCTTACTGCAAATTCAGATCACAATCACATTTGTCCTAAGCAAGTTAGCAGGGAGTACCTTCTTTGTGCCAATTATAGTAAAAAGATAAAATCTGACCATCCATTGTTAAAACACACTTTAAAAATTATTTTACTCATCTCTGGGCAAACTCAGTTTGCTTCTCTGCAGATCATGTAAATTAAGAATTACATGTATGCTCATGGTTTGATTTTGCTCCCACTGGACTCAATTACAAGCTTTTTGAATTGTCTCAAATTCAACCCCTGCTCGCAAGGCAATAAGCATTTACTCCCATTAGACACTTCCAGTGAAATATAAAATGCCTTCATTGACTTTTAATTAAATCAGCACTTTGTAGAAGTGGTTCTAACTGAATTTTACTTCTCTTATTGTACTTTTTTCCTAACCATTTTAAAGTGGAGTCCACTTATCTAAAAACCCAGTAATTTTCTTGGATGAATTTGAGACGTCAGGGACAGGCACACATAAAGCACCTGGACAGTGTTTTCAATGATACTCCCATTTTAATGTTTCTGTGTTCATCATTGTGGTGTCCCAGGGATTGTCCCATCAATAATCTCCTTTTCTTTGCACCTGTTTTTTCCCTCTAAAGGGCTGTCACATTAACTAGGTTTTACATTTCCAGCACCAGTAAATTAAAGGATCAGCAGAGTTATACTGTTTAACTGGGTGTAAATGTTTAAAGTTTTACAGAAGAGAACTCTAACAGCAGAGAAAAAGGACTGCAAATCATACAGTAGCCTCTGCAAAATTAGTCAGACCGTTTCTTCCTCAAGCAGGCTTTAAGCATTTTTGCAGATTGTGGAAAACCCCCCCGCCCCGGGAATTCCACAAGTTTTTGGAATGGGTGTCTTAAACACTGAAATGAATGCTCACCAGAACCATTCTCTGGGCAGAAGAGGCTTATGATTTATCATTTAATTTTGTAACTCTAGATGCTTTTAAGACTTCAGTCCATAAAATACCAGTGAATCTTGCAAAGACACATCAACACAAATTTTAAATCATTAATATGGGAACTAAGACCCACTTTAGTCCAGGCTGCAAAAACCTTCCAGTGAAGCTGGGTACACAAAGGGGGCAGTACCAAGTACCACAGTGCCATGGCTGTTCTGCAAATGCTGGCAAAGCAGCACTTGTATTTCAACACAAACTGTAACCACAGCATCTTTATTGACTAGAATAAACAGAGGGGAAGGAAGGCCTAAACATTTACCTTTCAACTGTCCCAATAATGTTGCAGAAGGGCCTAGAGAAGAACCTAGAATTGTGTCTGCATGTGCTCATAGCTGCAGTACCTACCTGAGGTAGTTTGGAGGTGGGTGGTGGTTTAACTATGAACAGCTGTAGATCAGAATGAACTGACCTGTACCTGAAAATGTTACTTAAAACTTCTCAAATTTTATACTATGTAGGATACACATTGCTATGTGTATGTTCTAGGAACAGCTTGGTACGCTGATATAATATAGTGGCAGAACACCCAGCATCTTGAGATACTAGACATACTCTTGAGCTATTATAGCTGCCATCTTTATTCTGTTAGGTTTCTGCATTGTGGTGGAACTGTTCAGGTTTTATAATGGTGGATATTCTCAAGCTTCTCTTGATCACAGAATCACAGCTGAGCTGGAAGGATACCCTCACAGCTCATAAGTCCAACTCCTGGCCCAGCACAGCACCATCCCAGAGTCACACTCTGTGCCTGAGAGCATTGTCCAAACACTTCTGGAGCTCTGCCAGGCTGGTGCTGTGACCACCGCCCTGGGGAGCTGTTCCTGCACCCAAACACCCTCTGGGGGAAGAACCTTTACCTAATATCCAACCTAAAGGCACAGAGGTCTGCAATCTGTCATTTTTCAGGCTTTCACCTGAATATGCAGTTGCAGCTGCCACTCCTAGCTGACCTGCTGGCTTCAGCACTTTTAAGTACTTCATCACAGAAATCCTGAAAAAAGACAGTCTCAAGAAGGCTTCACAGTCCTTTCAGCAAGGGGTAGTTCTTGGCCAGAACCATTCAAGAGTGCAGCTCTTGAACCAGGGCTATGTTTGACAGTGCTTGGCCACACCAGAGCTATTTAGTTTGGGTAACACAGACACGGGGACAAGGACTTCGGCGTGAGATACATGTCACATATTTAGTTGTTGGGTTGTGTGCTAGAATCAAAATCATGCTGTGAATGTTACCTGTCTGTGACAACACACATTACAATTACATACATAGACAGTCATGTTTGGCAGCAGCTCTACAGATTGACCTTTATTTCTACATACTTTTCATATATCTCTTACAATTCAGTGTATTTACAGGTTGAGTACTGACCAAATTTCTGTTACCAGGTCTAGTTCAAAACAGTTACCTTAAGTAAGCTCTAAGCATAGTTTTATACAGAAATACAATTAGAAAATACTTAAATTTAGGCAGGTCTGAATTGGAACAATGTAAGTAAGTACTACAAAAAACTAAAGCTGAGCTTTGGGGGGACCAGTGTAGTTACCTGACAAGTAAAAGATATGGATACTATACTGCTACTTTATTTCTGTAAAGTCAGCCTGCTGTAAACAAATATCTTGATAGCCAGTGACCACCTGAGGTCTGAAAAAAAAATGAAGTCAGTTTTTTCCAAGTTCGAATACAGGTAAAGATGAGAAGGCAGTCACAAATGATGTGTGCCACCATGTTACACAGAAATTGATGCAGTGATTTTCTGTTTCTCATTATCCAAATACATAATCAGAGAATGACAGGATGGCCTGGGTTGACAAGGACCTCACAGGTCCTCTAATCCCAGCCTCCCTGCTCTAGGCAGGGACACTTGCCACTAGACAAGGTTTCTCAGAGTCCCATCCAATCTGGCCTTGAACACTTCCACGATGTTGCACTATGATGTCACAGTTGTGTTTCATAAACATATTTTCTGTTATTATGGTGGACTTGGATGTCACTAGACTGTGTGTCATGAAGCACAACAATAACATTTCACATCAAAATAGTTTTTAAAATTGTTATTTTAATTGGAAATTTTACATAGTATAAATGTACTACAGATTTAAGAAACTGTATTTATTATCTCTTAAATTACATTGTACATCTAAATAAGGAAAAAATTCACATTGCTGTATTTTTCTACAAAGCACATTACTTACCAAAGAGTTAATCAACATAACAAGACAATTGTTCTGAAGTTCAGTAGGTAAATTGGCAAAGCTTTTCTCTGAAAAACATCTTGCAAAATGTTTTCCTACCCATCTGTTGAAAAGAGAGCCATTCTTAGGTAAGGAAGATGAAAAATGTTCTATCTTCACTTGTTAGCATAAGTGATACCTCTAAAGTATTGTGAAGAAAAAAACATTTAAAATGTAAACATTTCATATGCCAAAATAAATCCTATCTTGCAAAATAAAATAATTTCAAGAGAAAGCAGATAAAAACAATTTTATTTTATCTTACTTACTTCATGCAAGCAGCATATAGGTTTTCCACTCCCAATGAATGAGCAATAGCCATGCATTCTAGTACAGGCTGCTGTTTGCCAGGAACAGGCTAGAGTTGTTAGAAAATTATCACAGTTATTGTACATGTGATTTACAGAAAACATACAGAAATACAAAATCTTCAGTTCAAAGATTCAGAAGGAATGTCAGCTGCCATGGTATTTGTTTGCCTTTTTGCAGTCATCTATTTCCACATGTCAGTAAAGCAGGATTCAGCCTCATGAGCCTAATGCGTGAACATGCTCAATTCCAAGCAGGTGTTTGTTTTTAAACAATTTTAATTGAACAGACTTGTTTTTTTCTAAATATATGCCCATGAAACAAGATATGCAAATATACAGCATTTCCACATGCCCACCAAGAACAGTTACATTTACAATAGCACATATTGAACTATACTGAGTGTAATTTAGTACATTGAATTAATCATGTGGAATATTGCTTTTAATCAGCTGGGGTTTCCAAGTGTCTATAAATAGGTGATATCACAGGCCTTACTGCCACCATCTATCCCAGATTCACACCTTAGAACATGGACTATTGACTTCAGCCAGCACCTTGATCATGTAGTTCTTACAGATCTTGTCACTATGATTTTGTGTTAAGTAACAGATTTGAAATTCTCAGGCTCTATAGCTCACCAAGTAGCACGAGAAGTGACATACCTTTTGGAAAAAATTGCAGTAATCTCTTTTCAAAACGTAGATAGCTACTTCTTTTAGTCCATCCAGCCCATACATGTCTGCAATGCCCAACATGTGACTGAAGAGAAAGCAGTAGTGACAGGAATCAAAAAATCCTTGTGATATATGCATTTTCCTTACAGGACAATTTACGTGCTAACTTCACCTCTTGGTTCAGTCAGAACTTACTGCAGAAAGAGACTGATAACCAAGTGTGACACTTGCCAAAGAATAATCTCCAAAGCAGAAATGTATATTGACTTAATAATAACCTCCCAGCCATCGAGTTCAGCCTGGATAAAAACAAGCCTCAGTCACTAGCTGAGAACTGTTTAGAAGACTCTCAGTTTCACTATTTTAAGGATAGCAAATGAAAAAATATCTGTGCCAGCAGAGTTCTGGAATTTCCCAAAGATTTTTTTTCTCAAAGATTACATAAAATGTTATTGATGACATTCTTAAAAAGCAGAGTGAGCAAACTATTAATTATTTTATATAATAATCAAAACCATAATTTTACTTTCTATATTAATTAATTAGCTAAACATTGATATTCGGACACATTATAAACAATTCCGTAATTTTAGGAAATTGTAGCATTTTAATGTTTAGTGACAGGGGTTCATCACCTACTATATAAATGGCTTCAGAGAATAATTCACAAATTTCAGATTTTACCTCACTAATACAGGATTATGTATAAAACTGTGATTAAAAACTATCCCAGAAGAAAATGCCAACATTTACATTGGTTCCTATACATCATCTTTCATGGATCTAAGACTAACTACTTCACCTTTTCATCATCTTGTGTGATTATTCAAAAATAAATTTTATATATTAACTGTTATATACTATTACACATTGTATATATATTGTCTGAAAACTAAAAGGAAGGTACAGGCCAATTGGGAAATATTTTGGTATAAAACATCATCCTGTTTTTCACTCTCCTCATAGAGTATTCCAAAACCAGCTGGCACACCTTTTCCAGTAGCTGTCAAATAAATAAGATTTCTTCAACAGCTTCTTTTTTTGTGTGTGTGTGTGTGTGTCTTCCTTTTGATTTTTAACCGAGAAAATACAGAATAAGCAAACAAGCACAAACTAAAATGAAAAAATAATAATAAAATTTAACATATACCCAACATCAACTTCTTCTGGGAAGTCCAAAATAGCTCCATATATAAAATGCAAGACAACATTCATTTCTGCCTGGCTTATGCTGCAAAAAAGAATGAAAAAATACAAATAAAGACATGTCCATAATAAAATGCAGCACATTTCTTAGCCAAAGGAAGTTGGCAAAAAAAGCTGATACATCATCCAGCTGCTCTGTGAATGGAAGGCAAATGATCTGATAAAATGAAAGCAATAAGATTTTGCAATGCAGGAGTATCTAAATGGACTACACTTGGGGTGAATTCAGCTACTCAATAGATTTGCTGAAACTTTCTAACACTTTAAATCTTTAAAAATAAGCAATAAGCGGACTAATACTAATAACTATATTATTTACACTGATAATATAAGAAGGATTTTTTTTCATCATTGCCAAGCTCTTTATCAGCAATAAGTCAACTATTAAGTAACTATATATTTTAAAATGGTTTTCTTGTAATTACTTGAAGTCTTCATTTTACGATATATTTTTGTTCATGCAACACTAAAATATACTATATATTTTAAAATGGTTTTCTTGTAATTACTTGAAGTCTTTATTTTATGATATATTTTTGTTCGTGCAACACTAAAATACATATTTAGTAGTTTTATGACAGTGCTAAGCAGAAGTGTTACTCAGAATATTTAGTCTTTATTGAGATTAAGAAATCTGGCAGACCTACACAGCAGTGTTTGCACAGTCCCAGCATCTTAATGCAGAAAGGCACAGAGTGCCTCAATGGTGGACATGATCTGAACAACTCTTTCTTGTACTTGTGCACGTAATTTTTTGTGTGCTGTCTTCAGGACCCACAAGTGCTGTGTGCATTAGTGAACTAGAATATTCATGCAGAGATAAGGCCTCTTTAAAACATCAGACATGTTTAAGCAATTGACATTGGTGACTAAAAGCAAAAGGGAAAGAACCCAGCGCTGCAACATGCAAAGAAGCAAAATCAGCACAGCTGTCTCCCTGTATAGCAGAACACAACAGCCATCAAGTCAGCGAGGAGGAGTTTCCCCACAGCCTTGACAGCTGTTACATTAAGCAGAATTCTCATTATTTCAGAGTAAGCCATATGTACTTCATTTATAAGTGTTGTAGGAAACAGCACAGAAACCAGCACTGAGCAGAAAAGTGAACTGGAAAAGGTAAAATTATGCATATGACTCATAATAACAGAAATTATGAGACATTGGCAAAACAGTCTCATATAAGGATTCAGTACTTCTCAGGAGAATACCTCCACTGAAAAATAAGGATAAAATTTCTTAACCACAGAGAAGTCAATTACAGAGAGCTAAGTGTAAACATCAGAATAATTGGTGACTATCAGCTTCTAAAACACCACAAAAACAAAGGAATAAATTAAATTGCAAATATATTGTTTTATAAGGATTTGGAAGTTATAACCAAATCAACAGATATCTTTTCTGATTTTGCAGCAGCATTATTACACTGACAGGAAACTAAAATCAACATTTAAGAAAGTATCACTTGGTCAAGGGATTTTATATTAACACAAAGCAACTACATTTTGCAGCACTGTAAGGTACACAGTTCTTTCTGAAGAAAACTGAGTCGGCCAACATCATACCTGAAAAAAAAAGCTAACATGTATATGGATCAGTACTCCTTTGCTTTTAAAGAAAATTGAATGTATTTCAGTAGAGTTTTCTGATACTGAAAAGCTGAAAAGAACAGTCCCCAGCTTATCTGTGAAGTCTTAAGTACTCATCCTACAGTGACAGCTCCATTATTCTCAGGCAGAAAGCCCTGGTGAACAAGCCCACTAGATAAAATTGCTTTAGTACGTGCTGCTGAAATATCATAATTAAACACTATTTAGGAAATGTTATTTCTCTTTACATTGTAAATATACTTATTGTACAAATAAGTATGAAAATTACACTGTTCAGACACTCAGTATTCTTCATGACACGTACAACAAGAAGCGAAAGAAAAGAATTCTTGAGTAGATTGTGAATATTAAAACATACTCTGCACAAAAGGATTATGCCCTTCTGCTGATGAAAAAGACTTTTACTGAATCATCTGACAATATTAAGAAATACACTACACACAGACTTTCATCCTGAAGTCAAAACAGTACTCAGGAAATGTATCAGGCTGGAGAACAGTGTCAAGGCACATCAATCTTGAGCGCTCTGTACACAGCACAGTTGTTACATATTTGCAGCGATTGTAAATTGCCTACCTTTGCTCCCACACGACTTGCAGAGACAACACTTACCCTTGAAGAGTGATGTGCTCTTGAGAGCTCTCAGCCCAACTTCCACTCAGCATAGCAGCAAAGTAACTAGATCTGGCACATAAAATGGCCCTGAGAGAGAAAAAGCAAACATTATTCCACTACATACAAATATTCATGATGAGACTCTTTGATAGCATTGACTTAAATCTTTGCCCTTTATGCATTAAGGTGTCAGCTGTGTATTGCATGCCTTTTCTCCCAGTATGCTTGGAATTTCAAAATGCGCTACAGAAAAAACCAAACAGTACTCTATAAATTTTTCAGTTAAAGCTTGTTTTTAGTATGACTTTGAGATTCACACAGAGGAAATCTATTACCACAAGCATCTTCCTTTTATATAAAATATCACATTTATTTCTCCTGCTTTATTTACCAAATTAGAGTAAATAACAGTCATTAAATAAAGTAAATAAGTAGGTTACACAGTCCTATTATAAATAACTATATCCTGAACATCTTAAATTTTTCTTATATTACAAAATGTGTATTTATCTAAATGTTAAGTATATAATGTCTTGTATTCAGAATTTGCTACCTGCCAAAAGTCAAACAAAACTTGCTATTAACACATGCTGGGACAATAAGGTGTGTTTTTACAAGAGCTGTCAGCTACTTCTGTTTACACTTACTGTCCTTCTATATTTAAAAGGCATATAACTGGCCATCATGGGGCTAATTCAGTTTACTACTACCTCATAAAAGAGAACAAAGAAACCCCAGAGCTGCAGTCTGTATAGCTCAGTATCTCTACCAGTATCAGTCTTGAAAATATCAGGTAAGAAGACCTTTGCTACAGGATTCTTAAGGTGGAAGTGCAGTGGCAGAGAGGATGACAAGATCGTGGATGAAAACTACTTAGTGATTTCAGTTTTCCAGATCCACACCAGTTACAGTGTTAGCCTTTATGTATCTTATCTGGCTTACTACAGCCACAGATAATATTCTCATACAAAGAATTTTTTCATGACACTTTCTAAGCTTCCTATTATTTCTAAAATTAGCCTATGTCATGTTATTTCCTGTGGCAGAAAAAGCAAAACGTTATACTAGGCTTGAGAATCCTTTCTGTTACATGTATTTGTCTCTTAAAATGTTTCTGAGCACTCTCACTTTGTGTAGGAAGAAGCATGAAGAATACTATTTATGGTCTCTTCTACAGTCATTTTATATTCTGTATTCTCTCATCTCTCCTCCCTCCTCCTCCTTCAGAAGTCTCAATACTTTAAATTAGAACCTTCTCGCACATTCCTCCTATGAGTCATCCAGCAAAAATACTAACAAAGCTTTTACTGAACCTTTCATATCAGTGAAATACTTCCACATGTAAATGGGTATTACATCCTAACCTGAAGTGTATGAAATTCTGAGTACACACACAAAACCTTTTTTTATAAGATACAATAACACAATATCATACATGTATGGAATACACTTATCTCCACTTTTTTATTCTGTTCCAAATAAATTTTAGTAATGAACAGTGATCAGTTAACTTCAAGGGGATAGTTAGAGTGGATATTTCAAAGACACATTTTAAATAAGACAGGGACTCAGCAGAATATGGACAAGTATGCAGTACCTAAATTCAAATTCAAATCATTTTGAAATATATTTATCTGTGCTTTCCTACAGTGATGATTAGTGCCAGCTTTATTACAAAACAGATCTGACTTGCTTCATGTGGAGCTCTGTAAGAATGCAACACTAGGAAGACATAAGCCAACAATACTAAAGTCTATTGGAAGTTCACAGGACTTCATGAGAAAGTAAGGAATACTGACACAAGTGGGGGGAGACTTTGGGGGCCTAGCCTGTCTCCTGTTTGAGAAGTTAAAAAAACCCCCTTACAGTAAGTAAATAATTCTGGTGCTTTCACCACAAAGAAATTGAAAGTTCCATTACCCTTATTAGCTCCTACTGTTCACATGACCCAGTGCTAAAACGAGCTCAAGTCCTGTGCCTGTTTCAGAACATCCTTGTTTCCTCTGTGATTTACTGCCGCATCTTTTGATGCTAGTTAAACTAGATACATAGCTCCAGGCAGTAAGTGGCCTAAATTAAACAAGCTCTGCTGATAGAAGCTCTTTGTTGCACTATTTTTTCTGCATTAAAGCATTTGTTTTCCAAACTTATGTATCTGAGAACATATAATGTAGACCAGGAGAAACAAACATTCTTTACTACACTTCATTCTGAAAATGTAGCATATATCCAAACAGCCACACAATTGTGATCTACCTTTTCTAAAGATACTGTAATGTCTGTAGCTTCTCTAAAGATACTGTCCCCCAAGTTTTGTGTTGCGAAGGTACTAAAAGTAATGGAGGGTTTTTATAGCCCCTCTCAGTTACTTAATATACTCAAAGGGAGCAAAATACAGGCTGTCTAGTGTGCTATCTCAAATGAAAACAGACTTACATCAAAGGTACAAGGAATGGTACTGACACTTTAATTTGCTTTCACAAGCCACAGGAGTACAATAAGCCAAAGTTCTTAAACGGTCTTGGACTTTTGATCTAGGAAAGGCTCCTGACAATCTTTACATCTACATAACTGAAGTAATGAAAGTAAAACCAGATTTTGTATGCACAGATTCTGAAGGGCTGAAACAAAAATTACTACTCCAGAAATTTTCTGCCTATATGGAAATTTTATTCAGCATTAATAACTGAATAATTTATTAGATTTTTTGTTTTCTTTACAGATCACAGATTTTTTATTTTTTATTTCCATATATACATATATATACATATACATAGTTAGGAAAAAAGTCTAAAGTTTTATTTTTTATTTCATATATATATACATATATACATGTATATATATATGAACTATGTATCTCTATATATATGTATATACATATATATACAGATACATAGTTAGGAAAAAAGTCTAAAATGTATTTCCATGAGTATATACTCAATATATGAGATTACAGTGGCAATCTTAGAAGTGTTGAAAGCGTAGTTTTGAAAGTAGTTGCTGTTGATGGTAAATTATATTCGTTAGTATCAAAAGTACAGCCAGTCCACACATTAAGACCTAAAAGCTGTAACAGTTCACACCTAGAGAACAGCACCAGCAATAACTTCCTACAGATAATAGTAACAGCAGCATTTTATACCAAAAGTTATTGATTGAAAAACGTTTTACTGTAAATACTTACGTACCTGTGAGCTTGAAAATCTTTGCCTTCTACACAAATATTAATATCTGGACAACAGCACTTCTTGTAGAGCATCAGTAAGTCTTCTCCTAACACAGACGCGGTTTCTACTTTGGAATTACCTGCACATAGGGAGAAAAAGCTGTTTTCACTTTGTCAGGTGTACAAGAGACCACTGACAGTGCACAGACAAAATATTTGAAAAGAATTTGACATAATTAAGTTTTTTATTACTGCATATTCAAGCTAGCATTTTCCTTGAAAAATTTTCCAAACATCGCCTTTTGCTTCTTATTTTGACTTATCAGAAACTTGACCAATGCTCCCTATTTGGTACCTACAGAAGAAGAGCTACAGGTACTCTTTCATAAGATTATGTACCCAGTTCATTCTTTTCTGCAGAGGTCTGGCACCTGTGCACTGAAGAAGAGCAGCCCCTGAGGAAGCGTGGGGACATGCAGTGCCACAGGTCCCACCTGAACAGATGGGCTGCTCGAGCCCTGTCACTGACACAGCTGTAGCAGCCAGCACCTCTGGGGGAGATGCAGCTAAACACCTCCTTGTATGATTTCATTCAGAGCTATGGTATGGAAGATTCTGAAAGGTTCCAGAACCCTCCTAAAACAGCAGTGGAAACAGTGCCATTTGCTAGGAAAGGAAAACAAGGGAGATACTCTGCTGTGTGGAAGTCCCGCATGGTGAAGAGTGGAACTCACTGTATTCCAAGGAAAAGACAGGACATGGTGATGACCATGCCTGATGCCTGGCAGTTCCAGATTTATTAACACCACACGTTGGCTGGGAACTGTGCCTGCCTAACTTCTGCAGCAATTCATTTCTTCAAAGTGTGAGATCATTAGGTGGGCCATAGAACAGCTGTGCTGTAACAATAGTTTTAATTTTGCCTGCATTTCCACCACTTCACAAATATTTGCACAATTATTTAAAAGACAAAAAGAGAAAAAAGTGCAATTCCAAACCTACCTGCAGTGGCTTTGTCGCTTTCTGCATCAATGACTGCTTCTGGAATTTCTTCCTCAATACTAGACAAACAAACAACTCCTTTCTGCACAGCTCCACTTGGAGTATTCTGATCAACTGGTGTTCTTTTGCTTTGTCCAAGACAATTTACATTTTTTTGAGCATTGTGAAGAGTCGTAGGGTTCCTTTCTTGTATTACCCTCATAAACATGTCCTCAATTTCTTTAAGATTTATATCAGATGTATATAGAATCCTAGAATATGACACTAATTTTTAGTCTCATGATTTTTCAATTGAAGAAAACAAATAAATTACATTTTTTTTAACTAACAAAATTCAAGACTAGAAAACAGAGTTGGACTCTCTGGTGCTTAAAAAACCCAACCGTTATAAAAATGTATCTCTAGAAAACTTATTTCTGCAAATGCTTGAAAAGCATAAACAAGCACCACAAAATATCAAAACCTTCTAACATCAAGATTACAGTATGAAATAAACAAAAAAATGTACAGAGATATAAATGAATTGGAGAAATAAATTTTAATTTCAAAGGAAGCACTTAAAGCACAAAAATTTGCAGTTAAGATTACCCAAGAACTTTCACTTTGCCTATCTAGTAATTCTAGCTTCCCACTTTCCCATCTGTTTCACCAGCTTATTTTGGGCTCAGGATCTGGAAAGGCTAACAAAGCCTGCAGTCTGTGACTGCAAAGATCTCACATTTATAGAAACATACTGCACTCCAGCACAGACAACATGTTTTATCCTTGGTTTCATACCATCTAGATGAAGTTAACAAAGTTTAACAGAAGAGCTACAGTTCCTTTGGATGTAGCAGAACTACTCGGAGATCTCCATGGCAAAGAGGCTTTTTTGTTAATACCCAGGGAACAGTAATTTTGAGTGTGTTATTTGAACACTGTGCTCTGACAGGGCAGAGAAAAAATACAAAGAAATCATCTTCCTTCTTGAGTCTTGTATTTAAAGGATTAAGATACATAGAATTTTTTTTTTTGGTCTGTGTGATACAGGTCCTCACCAGGAGAGAAGAAGAAATAAGAATGTTAATATTTTGTTAAATTTTGAAAGCAAGCATCAGGAAAGAATGCAACAGGAACAATAAGATTTCACATGGAAAGAGTACAATCAGTGGACCCTTTTTACATGTGATTTTAAGGTTGTTGTATATGTATGTACTTTCAGAACTCCTAACCTATGAACTGACCATCTATTGCTTTTCATATTTAAAGTGCTTGCCAGCCTAGCATAATAATAGCACCAGGGAAAGACAAGTAAAAACATACCATATTACCAAGAATAGGAGCAAAAGTTACTTGATGGAGCAGAGATTTTGAAATTCTTTAGAAAATTCAAGACCACAACTTCCACACATTTTTTCCTATTCACTGTGCTGCACAGTAGGTAATATCTGTGTTTTACAGCTCTAAGGCAGCAGGAATCATGAATAGAAATGCAGAGTAGAAACCCAGTTAAAGCTAGAGAATTCAAAATTTCACAGAAGTATCCTGAAGTTTTGTCTTCAAGTTTTTTGCCCACGTTAAACCTTGCAAGAATTGTCACTTGAAGTCACATAGACAATGCCAGTACTAGGAAAACAAAAAATTCCAATAATTCACACTTCGTCCCTCCATCTTCACATGTAAACTAATAGCACAATTACACAACTACACTGGTCACATACTGAATGTAAAAAAGTGCAGAAAGGGTTTGTTGGAAAAAAAAAACATTGAACACATAAGGCTAAATTTGCACTAGACCTTTTTTTGGTCACCTTTCTGTTGCTACAGAGCTTTTGCATATTTAACATGTAGACAGTACAAATTGGCTTTGAGGGAGAAAGAAAATTAGCAGCAACAGATAGAGTGTTTTGGCATAAAATTAATTATTTTAATAGTCTTACTTTCTGCAGTAACTGAAAAACATCCATAGGGAATCTCATAAGCTAGGCAATGAGGCAACAATCTCCTGGGAATGCTCAGGGTATTTTCAGAGAATCTACACAAGAAACCTCAAGAATGCAATTAATTTTATTATCACTAGGCTTCAGTCAATAAAAACGGCATCTTTACCACAACTAGGAACTCAGTAAATAAAACATTTTAAACCAGAACGAAGTAACTGGTTTCTGGCTCTGAAAAAGTTAATTCTATTTTAAGCAAGTTTTTTCCTGTAAAAAGTCAAGAAACTTTGACTCTTTCAGTTAACCTTTAAAATCCAGTGACATTCCTGGATTTATTACTTCCAGAAAATCATAAGGTTATCTTAATATTAGAGTTCTGCTGAATGCAGATTGTAAATTTACTACTTTGAAAGACTCATGGGACACATCCATCATTTTGCTTCACAGACAGCAAAATTATTTTGGCACATCTTTTAGAAATTTCCTTCTATCTCTGTAAATCCCATTAGATATTTCCAGAATACAAGATTCTGCAATTTTCTATAACCTGCTATAGAAAACTTTGCTTGGCAGCACCCTGTATTTCATAGGCTCATTGCTAAAGCAGAGTGGAGTTTTCTAGACTGTCTCCTCCAGAGTATTGAATGGTGCCTCTCTGCATAATGAAAGCTGGGGAAATCTGGCATCCTTGGACCTTGGAGCTCAGATGGTTTAGTGATAGTGTAAAACCATCTTTTCAAAGCAGCTGGTTTAAGAATCCAGGACTCTTACTGCAGAATTGTATTAGGGATAGTTTTTAAAAACTGTTCCAAACCACTTGAGCAGGCATCATTCAATGTGCCATCCTAGTTTTGTTATCTAAAGAGCAAAGGACAACAATTTCATGAAGTTATAAATCTCTTCTTTAAGTCAGATAGAGGTGTATCATCACAAGGTGATCCCAGAGCCTTCTCTTCTCCAGGCTGATGAACTCCACTTCTCTCAACCTGTCTTCATGGGAGAGGTGCTCCAGCCCTCTGACCAGCTTTGTTGCCCCTTTGTTGACTCATTCCAACAGGTGTTTATTATGCTGGGGTCCCCGGGGCTGGATGAGCACTGCAGGTGGAGTCTCAGGAGAGCAGACCAGAGGGGCAGTCACCTCCACCCACGCTGCTTAGGACACAGCCCAGGCTAGGGCTGGCTTTCTGGGCTGTGAGTGCACAGTGCTGGCTCATGCTGAGCATCTTGTTAACCAACCACAGCTCTGAGTGGGACCATCCAGCCAACTCCTTATCCACTGAATGGGCCCTCTGCCAAAACCAAGCCTCAAGCTGAGCGACAAGAATGTCATAATAACACCAAAGCATCTTCTGCACACATGTGAAATACCATAATATACCGTTTTACTTAAACAGTTAACACAATTAAATGCCAAAATGAAACCCAAATCTAATTACTTCTATTAATAAAAATGAAACCAATATAGGAAGCCTCTGAACCACGGCATGTCCAGAATCTTAATGCATCCACGTTTAGCAAACCCAACTGCAGCAAATACTCTCATGTAGTGCGTTTAAATCTTGGTAGACTTGCAAAACTATTTCAGCAATACACCTAAAGTAGGGCATCTTCATTGCCTAAGTCTAGCATTTCATACACACAACTCCAACCTATCCTAACCACTTAAGAGTCTTCCATTTCCTTTTAGATTTGCTAAAAGTACCACCTGCTTGATTTCTGCAGTCAAGATGGTTGTTTTAACTTAATGGATTTCTTAAAATAAGTGTTTCAGTGAATTAATTCCCACAATTCAGGACTCATTGTTTCATAAATTTTAAGACAATTGCATCACATCTCCCATATTGCCACATTTGTAGGCCAAGGTTTGTTAATTTTAGTTGTTTTGGGAGGGATGATTTTTTTCAGCTGTACTGCTGACTTCCTTATGTCTTAATGCAGGGAAAAGAACAGTTGTGCCAAAAAAATCCACATGCAAGTGTCACAAAAAGCCGATTTTGCAGCTGATTGGTTTTCAAGTTCCATGAATCAGTCACTCAGAGAAGATAGTCCTTGCATGGTAAGGTACACAACATCAATAGGCACAAGTGATAAAAGGGAAGGACCATATCAGAACAGTCTGTATAAACCACAAAACTCCAAGAACATGTGAGCCAGGCTATTCTTCTGAAATAAAGTGGTCTGCAACCATAATCCACTAGGGGCAATACACAAGCATAGATATTAACGATACGATTGCTGAGGTGTAAACATAAAGGAATTCAGTATACACAACATAACTCAGGTTTGTTTCCTCTAAAACAGCCATTATCCAATGGGGACTGTGACAATCCAGCAACTGGGGAGAAGAAACTCATAGACAATTCATTTAGAGAAGTATTTTCCTTTTTCACTACTTTATAATCCAGTGTTATCCCGTGGAACTCTAACTGGGAATTGTATTTAAAGAAAAAATGTTCACAACCATTCTATTCGGTGTAACTCCTTTATGAAAACCTCACATGCAAGAGAACAGCATGCTGGAAATAGCGCTAATCCATCACTTCTGTGGTGTCAGTGTGATGCTGTGTAATTTTGACAGGTACCCCACCTTATGGCTTGGGGTTTTTTCCCTGTACACAGAAAAGATTCTGATAGACATGAACAACAGTGAGTTTGCAAGAGGTGTGGCTAGGTGGCAGATGAAACAGGAACAATGCTGTAGGGTAACTGTTGTATTCATAGCAGTTACCATAGCTGAAGATTTTTTATGCCAAGGAAAGGTGGGCATACATAGAGTCTACAGAAAGAAGTTATTGCCATCATGCTTTTTACCTTCTAAAAGGTTTCTGCCTGCACTTAAGCAAGATGCAGCATCCTTGTCCTGCCTGATACAGAATTCTACAACTGTAACACGGTCACCAGGCTTGGCTGGTCTTTAAATCAACTGCTGGTATTGCAAACTAACCCCTGTGGCAGTAACTGTCACAATGACAATCGTATTCCTTTTTGTTTGATTGTATTTATTGCTTTTTAACTGGATCTCACTGTCGTTAGGTCCTTCTCTGTCCTTCCTTGCATCAGACCCTCTAATAGAAATACTAAGAGACAAAATATAGATTTTTATTGCTAAAGCAGTATTTTGTCCAGCTGCAAGAGAAAATAAAAAGCAGTTTGCCTCTCAGCAGGCAAGACAGTAATGATCTAATGATTTGTGACAGACAGCCATCCTTCAGGAATGCCGAGTTTCTTTTCTTGAGGCACACTGCAGAACCCTGCCTAGGAAGACATATCCAGCCATCAATGTACTTGCAGCTGTTGACATTTTTCCAGTTGTGTCCTGAAGAATGACAGAAGGCTATTGGAGGGCAAACTCAATATTACATTAATTTCACCAGGAAAAAACATAGCATGCACAGTGTCTACAGTATGGATGCTGCACGTCTGGGGACCAGAAGTTTCTTCCTGGTGTCTTCAGATAGTGCAAGTGTACAGAGGGAAACAAAGCACTGCTTAGTTGCTCATCTACTTCATGCTGAGGCTGTGCAGAAAGATCAGCATGAAGTTTACTATGTCCTATCTCCCGCTCAAAAGAAGAGGGAAGAGGAGCTGCACAGCCTTCAGCGCACAAGTGACACGTAGCCCACTTCAGCTCTCCTGATGAAGGGAGACAGGAAGTGTGCCTCACTGAGATGCAGGCCAAATATAGCTCATGAGAAAATAAAGTTCTCAAATCCCCATGGAAAGATAAGTTTTACTTGGGAAAATAAAAGCAAAGCTGAATACAAACCGGAAAAGGATTGAGATTTTGTTATAGCTTTGATGAACTCTGCAATACTATTACTAGTATTCTACTTCTCCATACATAGAAAAAAACAGAACTTTTGTAGAAGAAAATAACTTTCTCTCAGGAGCTCAGCTGCAGCTACAGGTCTCCTGTATAACTTACCATGGCAATTTACATGCTCCAAGAACCAAGCTGGCTTCCAGTAAAACTAAAGCTCTAGTTTAAGACACTGTTTTGCACTTACAAAGATCTAATTAATTTGCTTCTTAACAATAAGAAACCACTGAGATGCAACAGCCACTGATACTACTTGATCACCTGAACAATGGATTAGGCTCTTTTCAACCAATCTTTTCTTTGGTCCAAATGAGTTCAAGCTTCAGTGCACTCTGTAATCATGAATCTCCACAGAATGTGCTAGGTTAGAGGGCTCAAAAGGTGAAGTATCAAACAGCACCGAAAACTAAGTTAAGAAAAAGCAGTTATCTTGCAAAGCACACTTCATGCAGAGCTTAGAACATATGGGGAGGTTCATTTGAAGATTCTAAACTCACTGTGAAAAGACACAAGGTTTACAGTTAGTTGAGCTGAGTTTAGAGGTGTTTTCCAATACCATGCTTTTTGAAGAACATGCAGAACTTTAGACATCATTCCTTGCCTTACAGCAAACCCAGACAAAACTGAAAGCAAGTATCAGTGACATATTAAGTGCTTACTATTAGGAATACAAGCCTCTGATATAACAGTATATAAATAATTATTCAGAATAATTGTTTCAAAATTAATTTGATTTAAAAAAAATTATCATATTTCTCCATGAAATTCTTCTGTAACACCACTTAGATGAATGTGAAAGAAATTGATGATATCACAGTAACAATGAAATCAGGAGAAATACAAGACAAAACCCATGCTTGTTTTGTTTCTTACCACTTGTTTTGTTAATGCTCCTGCCAGGCTGTGGCAGTAAGCCAACAAATGCCTGATAATCAACCTGCTCCACTACAAGGATTCTATGTTTCAGATATTACTCTGGTCTCAGAAATTTTTCTTTCATCATTACGTTGTGTTTCAAGCACTAAACTTTAAAACTGCAACACTGTCCCATTGCCATTGGCAACAATCTCAGGAGCCTGCAAGTACCTACATTTTCTGGTAACATCCTGAATTCATGTGAAATCCCAGAAGGATTTCTTTCTACCACTTTGCTCCTGGTGCATTCCTGTAAGTGCCGGTCAGCTCTAACACCAACTCTTTTTTAGGGAAAGTAGGTGGCACCACCAGAGCTTTTTTACAGAAAAGCAGTTCTTGGAAAAAAGGATTAGAGGAACTTACAAGAAGGAGGACTGCAAGGTCTGGTGGCAGCACCAGCCAACACCCCTCATGTAACTCACCTAAGGTTTGGAGCAAGACATGAGAGATGTTGCACATGTGGCAATGGGAAAATAGCTGGCAGTGCAAAAACATGCTGGCCCTTGCACTTAGTCCCTGGGAGTAGCCAGCCCACACACCCCCCCCGGGATCCCAGTTTGCACCAAAGCTGTGCTGTGTTTGGCCTCACTAGGATTGGTTCACTAGGATTTAAAAGACTAGTTTTGAACTCAATGCATTTTCATCCAACTTGCTGAAGTTCTCCTAGATATCCACAAATTTTTTCAAATATGAGCTGAGAGTTGGTTCTATTTACTGTTTTCATCTGGGAATCTTCCTGAAAAAGGTTTTAGTAGGCACAGACAATCTCAAAGGATTTTTGCTGTATTTTTTCTCTTTTCCTATTACAAGTCCTTTACATATAACAAAAAAGCACGCTAAGGTGGAGAGTACAGCCATGTACTATGAGCAGAAGGGCAAAGGCAGAGGAAAAGGAACAAATTACAGAACGTCCTCTGCAAACTTTTCAGGAAGGCTGCGAGGGTACTGCCTTGAACGGGAAAAGCTTTAAAACAGGTGCTGGCACTGGGAGAAAAAGAAGAGGCAGGACACAGGAGAGGTGATGAGAAACCAGCCCGTCAATCCTGCCGAGCACTCACCGCAGGTAATCCCGTAACGCCGCGGGTTCCAGGCCGTCCAGCTGCAGCTGTGCCCCCGCCAGACGTTCGCAGAGCAGCGGCGCCCGCGCCAGCAGCACCGCCCGGTGCACCGGCACCTCCTCGTCGCCGACTCGGAAGGTCACGTCGGAGTGGGTCCCCTCCGCCAGCAGCCTGCGGGACGGCACCGTTACCGCGTGTCCCCTCCCCGCCCCGCCCGGCGCCGCCCCGGCTCGGCCGCCGCCCCGCGCCCACCTGTCGAGGTCCTGCCGGAGCTGCTCGGCCAGCGCCTCCTTCAGCCGCTGCCGCTCCGCCGCCGCCGGGCCGGGGCCCTTCGGCGCTGCGCCGCCGCTGCAGCGCGCCATGCGCCGGCCGCCACTCCGCCCCGCGCGGCGACGGACACCGGGGCGGGACTGGCAGTCGGTGCCCTGGCGGCAGCCCCGCACTCACGGACAGCACCGGGACGACGCTCGGGGCGCGAGCAGTAACCGGCCCCGGAGCGGGAGCGCCGCGGGATCCGCGCCGTGCGGAACGCGGCGCCTTCCCCGCGCCGCTCGCGGGGCGGGGCCAGCAGGGGCCTCCACCAATGAGAGCAGGCGGTGCCGGCCTGGCCCCGCCCATATCGGGGAGGCCCCACCCTCCCTCATCTTCCCTACTGGGGGCGGGGCCTCACTGATGGTGCGGCGCCTCAGCCGGCCGAGCGCGGGTGCCGCCGGGAGTGCGCCCCCTACCGGCCGCCGCTCGGCCCTGCACGCGAGGGCCGTTCCCGCCGCGTCCCCCGAGCAGCGCCCTCATGTGAGGGGCCCGGCGTTCCGCGGCCGCCCCTGCCGTGTGCACCTGCCGCGGGGAACGAAGCGGGGCGGGCTGCGGCTTTTGGGCAGCCGGTGCTCCGCAGGAAAATCCCTACTCCCCAGCACTGTCTGTCTTGCCAAAGCAAAACTGCTGCTCAGGCGATAGAAGTCTCTCTGTGCCACCTCCTGAGACAAGGGAGAGCCTTTCCAGCTTCACAGTGTAAGTAAGAGAAGCACATAACCATTTCCTTTCATAAGTGCTGAAAGTATTCAGGGAAAAATGCTTGAAAGGCAGGTACCAGTGGTGGATGGAGAGAAGGAAATTCAACACCACTGCCGCGCTCCTGAGGAGACTCTGTGGGGATTTGCGGAAGGGGCCACGAGCAGGTCTCCAGCCGTGAGCTAACGCTGGGCAGGCAGCGTTGGTCCTTCCCGGCGAGCTTACACTGAGGGTGACACTGCACCCATACCGAGTGGGACACCGTGGCTCGAAAGAGAAGACACTCTTGGTAGTGTGGGGATGTGTTGGGACTCCCCGGCATCTCTCAGCTCTGTTCTACTCTGCCGTGGAAGCTGGTTCCTGCACACCTGGCCCTGAGCCCTCCCTCAGCGGGCTCTTGTTCACCTGTAATTCCAGGGCACTGTGCTTCTCTGCAGGTGGAGAGGGAGGCTTTGAAAACCTGATAGGCAGATGACACCTATTCTGTGGTCTCGTATTTTTGCTTCTTTTCCCATTGTAGTTAGTAAACTGTTTTCTTCTCCCCTGCCATCACACACAAGTTAATTCTACCCTTTGTGTCCATAATCACTGCATCTCTTCCTAATAAACACAGGAACTTGGCAGCAGTTCTTGGAGACAAGAACAGTAGTTGCTGACATAGGAAGGATAATGCCAACAATGAGGCATTATTTTCAAAAATTGACAACAATCATAGCATGAGTGTCCAGGCTGAATACCAGACCAGACACTTCAGCTATTCAAACCCAGTTCTCAGCTTCAGCAAGTCTCTCCATAGAAAGTCAGATAAAGTAGAGGGAGTCTTGTAAGTTGCATTTTATTAGACAGAGGTGGATTTGATACATGTTATATCTTAATTTTCCATTGTTCTTGTCCAGACATGTGGAGTGTACAGGTTTCCCATTTTTTAGTCAAGAAAGAAAAACACATTGCGCAAAGCAGCTGCATTCAACAATACAACAAGATACGGATCATTATTCACTTGAAGACTAGAAACGTACCCAGAAAATTTTCAGTCATTCAGTATGCTAAAATATAGATAAAAAGAGTTACTGTTTAATGGTAAAATACATTAAAAAAATTCAGGCAAATCTAGAATGAAAACTTGTGACTTTCTTCAGTATGGCACCACTATATTGTTTCATTATAAATTTGTAAAAGGCACCACACATTACAACTGTAAAGCAAGGGAGAAAACAAAACCAAGCAACTTTCCATGATTTTCTTTCTGTACAAATACATATGTATTTTAAGGCAGGTGTTTTTATGTGCAAAATACAAGTATACAGGTAAAACCAATGTTGGTATCATATATTCTCATACTCATTTCTTTTAGCTGTACGATTAGTGTCCAAATGTACAGTACAATGAAAACACTTCTCTAACAGAGCTCAAAATAGAAGGCAGGCTGGAAATATGGCCCTGATAACAATTAGGTTTTAAATCCAAAGAGCTTTTATTTAGACCCCTTAAAACATGTACAAACAGTCATTCTCTTTTTCTTTTTGTCTCTTCCTTAAGAAAGGTCCATATCAACTTGTTCACTATGTCAGGTTGATCCTGCTGGAGCCAATGACTGGCTTCTGACAAAATAGTTAACCTGAAATGATTTTTAACATAAATCCTTGTAATTTCTGCCATCTCAACTTCCATAAATGCATCTCTTTCTCCCCATAACAGCAGGGTTGGCATGATGACTTCATGGTGCTGCAGAGGTAGGCAGCTTTAAAAATAAAACACAGTTAGGTCTTATTTTAATAAAAAATCACCAAGACATATTTTATTCAATACAGCTTTTGAAATCAATGCAGTGAATCTCATTGTAAACTTTCTAAGTGCCACAATATCTTCTGCAATATCAAAGAAACACTGTGACTCTAAGTTCTATCAAAATGACCTACTTAAACTTTCACTAATTTTTTTCTTAATACAATTATTTAAAATTGTTAATTTTATAAGTATTACCTCATATTATAGACATGAAAGATGCAAGTAGCTAGTATGAAAGACTTTTCAGCATTAACCTATCAGAATTTATTCCAGCACATTTAAAAAATGCAAAAAAATTTATCTACGTTTGAATTGCTTACTTTTAGCCACATACAGTGACAGACGAGCTCAGGCAATTCAAAATAGATTCCATCTGATCAGATACAAGTCTTTATTATATTAATGCAAAAATAGGATTATTTTAAACCAGTAATGTATAAAAAAAAAGATTTCCTCACAAAATAAACTTTTATGACGTATGTAAGTACTAGTTGTAAACTTAGGAGTTAGTTAAGAGACGATGCTCTGTAAAAAGAGCAGGACTAAAAAGGTGACATGTCTTAGTTTAAAACAAGGCAAAGAAATTGAGACTTTGAAGACATTCTTCTTCTCTACTTACATGCAAAGTCAAGAAATGTAAATAAAAGATCACTTTAGATAATAATTTCATTTTGACTGAGGATTACAAAAATTACTAAAATGGCCTTTTTTACCAGTGGATTTAAATCTCATTTGGCAAACAGCCTGACATCACCCACAGAACCACAGCTTATTCATAGTACCAGTTTTAAAAACTGATAATCTGATATCTGATTCCACGCATTGAGACTAATCTCTTTACCTTTTACTCCATTATCCTGGATCCCTTCACTATTAACACATGTGTTTTTTCACTACTGTACAGTTTACTGTTTTGTGCCTTGCAAGGTGTGCAGCCTCACTTAGGTAAACTCTATCAGGCTTTTTACAGGCTTTTTTTCACAGGCTTTTTTGGTCACTTTTCATTGCCTATGACCTACACTGTATTTCTGTTCAGTCTGGACTCTGGGAAATGATATAATTCCTGAAGTTTCCAGAAATCGCCTTTAATAACAATCAATGCACAAATTTCTCATTTAGAAAGGGAAGTTCCATTCATGAAATATTAAAGTCTGAAAAACAGACTCAGACCTTCATACATTGTTATACAGTTTCTCTGTAAACAGTGACATACTTCTTAACTGTTACAAGAGAACTAATGCTATTGTCTAAACAAATGGCACATCAGAAGAAATTCAATTTCCAGCTTCTTACCTATCTCTCTTAACTAAGCATGATATAAAAACTATGGATTCATTCTCCAAGTGTTTGTATTTAATGTATAGTGAAAGGAATGACCACTGTGCTATTTATAAAAAGATGTGCTGGTGATGGATGGAAGCAGGTTATTTTAATCACTCTTTGGAAATAACATTCCAGAAATATTAGGCTCTGAAGAATGAACCTCCAAGTGGATAGTAATGAGTCAGAACCCTTTAACACGTAGGTCACCTGGGAGTTATGGTGAATACAAGTAATTTGCATCCAAGTGCTGCTTAATGGCTTAGAATGAGAGAAAGGGAAAATTCCAATCCACTTTTCATATTTAATGGTTCCCATCCCATAAGGCGCGGCCATCAAAACTGGTGGCAAGAACTGAGTGACTGATCTTTTTGTTCCAGTCCAAAGCCTGCTGCGTTGTGACTGATGGCACCTAAATAAGATTCTCTGAGTTCAGTGCAGGTGTACTTTCATCAGAAAAATAAAGCAAACGATGCACAAACATACACACAAAATACACAGAGGAATTAATAGCGGAGCGAGGTGCTGCGGCCGCGGGACGAGCCGGGCTCCTCTCAGCTCCTCATGGAGCGGCTGGTTAACGTGCGCACGGAGCGGAGCGAGGTGCTGCGGCCGCGGAACGGGCCGGGCGCCTCTCAGCTCCTCATGGAGCGGCTGGTTAACGTGCGCACGGAGCGGAGCGAGGTGCTGCGGCCGCGGAACGGGCCGGGCGCCTCTCAGCTCCTCATGAGCCCTGCCCGGGGCTGCTGCAGGGCCGGGGGGCGCTGGGCACGCAGCAGCCCCGTGGCCCTCGACACCCAGCTGAGGTCATGGCTGCTCTCTGCACAGCCTTAAATAAGTGTGCTGTTACCAGCACAGCCGTCTCATTTGTTCCCCGCTGTCAGCCGTGCCTGGGGGTAGCTTTCTGCTTTCTCCTTCCCCTTCTGTCTCAGCCTGTACCAGGCAGCACCTAGCTCAGGTCCCTGTTTTCCTCACAGTGGTTTCCCTGCTGATTGCTCTCCTGACAGTGACAGCGTGGATGACACAGAAAGAGCAATAAAGGTAGCAGTAAATTTGGACCATGGAAGATGAAAAGTTACTCTACTCCAAACATCTACTGCCTGAGTTTAGGGAAAGAAGGGAATTGCTGTTTTAAAGGATATTGGGAACCTGGTCTTTTGTTGGAGAAGCGTGCAGGACATTTATCACTGCTGAAGACTGGAGATGGTAAAGGAAAAAACAAATTCAATGCCACTCTTCTTGATACAGTCCAAGTTAGTGCTATAAGTGGAATATATGCAGAGTTAAGACCTTCTGGCCCTGTTTTTGGTGGGTAAAAAAGGGCGTGTCTGTCTCTAAGGCCAAGCCAACTCCTT